TGAAAATGGATTACACTTCTGGGCGCTACTATTTGGGACTCAGTACGAAGTTATTAAGTTGTGTGATTGATTATGGTCATAGACATGATAGAATGGTCGAGTGAAATCAAGCTGGTCAGCTAGTACTCAGGAGAAATGGGAAGATAGCCGAGAAATTTATAAGATAGTCGAGAGAAAGGGAGTTTCTCTCGGAAGAAAGATGGTTTTAGCTCGGGTCATGGTTCAGACAAGCTAAATTTCGATAATGCGGGTTTTTCGGAGTACTTGGTCAGAATTCGGACAAGGCGGTTATTGGTCGGAGCTGAGCTGATAATTATCCAAGGAAATAAATGGAATAGTCGAGAGAGAAATTATGATAGTCGAGTTGGTTAGTAAAATAGCCGCGAGATTATTGGAAATGGTCGGGCGGAAACGGTTATATCCGAGATAAATTAACAGGCGTTCGACTATATTGGAGAGAAATAATATTTACTCGACAATACTAAGGATTGGCTCGACTATATTAAAGAGACGGTCGAATAAAATAAAGGGGGACGGTTATTTTAGGGAAAGGATCTGGTTTATCCGTGAGAAAGGAGCGGGAAACTGAATAAAACGGTTATTGCACAGTTTCTGGGCTATATTATCACGGGAATAGTTATTCTTCGGGGAGAGACGATTCCCGGGGGAGGGATTATCGAGAGGAAACAGAGAAGATGGATTCTGCACAACATAGTCGAGAGTTTCTTGAGGATAGTCGGAGAGATCCGACGAAAAGCTAGTGTATCGTGATTATAGCCGAGGTACGATGAGCGTAGCCGAGAGAATTGAGGATACGATCGGATGGTTTCCGATTCCGTTCGGTTTCTTCGGGAGAGTACCGAGAGAATGGGGAATAAGGGAAGGAAAGAGATTTCAGTCGAAGGATATACGTGTTTAGCCGAGCGATTGTGATGATAGTCTACAGTGATGCGATTACAGCCGAGACGCTGTGAGAACCGTCGAGAGATGCTCGACTATATCCGGGAGAAACCTAATCATCACCGAGAGAATCACGGATATCCGACTGGTTCCAGGACCGAGAGCAGTTATGGATGCACTGCGATCATGTTTGTACACGGGAAAACGGATTATATCTGAGAGAGAGTCTCCGGACAGAAGGAGATATCCGACAGAATCACAGGAAAGAAGGATTTACCTGAGAGAATCGCCGAAGAGAAGAATAGTTGTGGGAATAGTCGATGGTAACACGACTATAGTCGATGCACGTTGGAAGTTGCCGAGAGCTGTGTGGCTACAACCGGAAGAAAACAGTTATCCGATAGCAGATATCGAGAGAATGTGCATCTGCCGAGAGAATATCAGACAGGATGTGGGGATTACGGGAAATTCGCCGAAGAGAAGACAATCTGCCGAGAAAAAGTGGTCTTGCCGAGTATATCGCCGAGAGAAACATATCAGTCAAGTGAAACACCTAGAGATTCTACACGGTTCATGACATCTCTCGGTAATGGCTAAGCGATTTTATCAATGGTCGGGAGAAACGTGATTACAGCCGGGAGAAGTATGACTACAGCCGGGAGTTTTTGGAATGGAATAGCCTACCGTCGGGATAAACGTGACTGCAAGCGAGAGATGCGTGTCTAGGATGATTGACGAGTGAAATGACTGTGAATGGGCTGGCTAGCGTGCAAGGTATCAAGGTTTCAAGCCGCCTCTCTTTGTTACTTGGTCATGTGGGGATGGTTGGTTGAGTGACTAAGTAACAAAAGGAGGTGTGTGTTCGGATTATTGATATGGTGGCTTAGGAGAATCAGCTAATCAAAGAGACTACGATTAGTCCATCTGATATCTGCAAATGGCTAAGATACTTGTATAGCTGGTTAAGTGTGGAATAAGATAATGGACTATAACTATTAAGTTGATGGGTATAGAAACGGTGAAACCTCGTTAAGTAAAGGAAATTTTAAAAATGCCCAAGTCTGACCAGGAAGTGGTCGGATAAATCCTTACAGCGATAAGAAAATCTAGGTCAGGGTGTTTCAGATTGCTTGCTCTCTCCACTTCTAATGGGGAGGAAAATATGTAGTATCTTGCTTTCAGAACGCGGGCCAGCAGGGACGATGGGTAATGGATTAGTCTCCATAATTTTTTCGCAAGCAATGTTATATTGAAGCTATTTAGATCTCTGAATCCTAAACCCCCTTTATCTTTGTCAATGCAGATCTTATCCCAGGCTAGACAATGTAGGCCTTTATTTGATTGTTTTGTACTCCACCAGAATTGGGAAATCGCTCCATTGAGTTTCTTCAGAATAGACTTCGGAAGAAGAAAGCATGACATGACATAAGTAGGCAGCGCCTGTGTGCTACTGACTTAATCAGAATTTCCTTTCCTCCTTTTGAGAGGAGTTTTGAGGACCAAACATTGATCCTTTGGCTGAGACGGTCTTGAATGAAAGCAAATACTTGCTTCTTTGATCCACAAATGTTCTCTGGTAGTCCTAAGTAAACCTCCATTCCGCCTTCTTGGTGTATCCCTAGGGTGTCTTTTATCTCGTTTTTGTATTCTGGCCCTACCTTGCTCCCAAATAAAACAGATGATTTCGAGCAGTTTAGCTTCTGCCCTGAAGCTTTACCATAGTCCTCTATTATCTTGATAAGCTCAGCGCATTCCGTTTTTTCTGCCTTACAGAAGAACAGGCTGTCATCCGCAAATAGGAGGTGAGATATATTCGGACATGTTCTAGCGATTTTCAGGCCTGTAATTCGTCCCTCTTCTTCTGCTCCCCTTATCTTTGCGATAAGTGCTTCCGTGAGTATAATAAACAGAAAGGGAGATAGGGGGTCCCCTTGTCTCAGACCTCTTGATGGGGTGATATTTCCTTTCGCTTCTCCGTTAAGCAGTACTCTGTAAGTTACAGACGAGATACACCATTTCATCCATTTTACCCATCTTTCTGCAAAGCCCATTTTCAACATCAGTGCCTCTAGGAATGTCCATTCAACTCGATCGTAAGCTTTACTCATGTCTGTCTTGATAGCAACAAATTTTCCTTTGCACATCTGATTAGTTCGCAGAGCATGGAAGGCTTCTTGCGCTACTAATATGTTATTTGTGATTAGACGTCTAGCCACAAAGGCTGATTGAGTCTCCGAAAGTAATTTCGGGAGGATCTTTTTGAGTCTAATACTTAAGATCTTGGAAATAATCTTATAGCAAACATTGCAGAGGCTGATGGGTCGGAATTGTGACATCTCAGTTGGTCTCTTGTTCTTTGGGATTAAGCATATATCTGTTTGGTTTAGCTGTGGGTCGAAACTATCCTGCTCAAAAAAGTCATGCACCATCCTGATAATGTCTCTCGAGAGAACCTCCCAGAACCGTCTGAAGAAGAGACTTGTCATGCCATCCGGGCCTGGAGCCTTTTCTGGATTGATAGAAAAGAGGGCTTTCTTTGTCTCTGCCTCTGATGGTTTACATGTTAAATTCTCGTTGTTAGATGCAGTCACTCGCGCGGTAACATACCGGAGATTTTCCTCAAAATCTTGTGGTTGAGCTGTCGTGAATAGATCTTTGAAGTATTCTATAGCTACTTTCTCTATACCTTGATCTGTTTCAACCCAAACTCCATTGCTATTTTTTAGTTTAATGATCCTATTCCGTGCCCTTCTCTGTTTGGTGGTAGCGTGGAAGAATTTTGTATTCTTATCCCTTTCTTTTAGCCAAATAGCTCGGCTTTTTTGTTTCCAATTAAGTTCTTCCTCTCTAAACGCATTACAGAGATTCCATTTTAAGGTAAGAGCTCCTCGTTTCTAACCTCATCATCGTCCTGGGCCGGCTCAAGCTTTGCCTTGATCTCTTCGATCTTTTTAATTGTGTTGGACGGGTTTAGACGTCGCCAGATAGAGATGGCCTTTCGACACTTGCCTATCCTTGACTATATGTTACTCCTGTCTGTAGGGCTTGATGGTCCCCATCCCTCAATAATGGCCTCTAGTAGGCCTTCCTTCTCTAGCCATCGCTTATCAAATTTAAAATTCTTTTTCACTCGACCCAGTTTGGATTGAATACGGGCTAATATGGGGCGATGGTTCGACCCCCATAACTTTAAATACTCCACAGACGTGTGGAAAAAATCATGGTGCCACTCTTCATTTCCGAGAGCTCTATCTAGTTTGCACCGAACTCGGCCACTTCTGCGATTTCCCATCCATGAAAATGTTAGCAGGAAATTCCATCATCCCACAATCGTCCAGCAATGTATTGAAAGGGATAAATGATGCATTTGAACGTTTTTGCCTCCCTCGCTTTTCGTGGTGACCAGTGATCTCGTTAAAATCTCCTATCATAAACCAGTTTCTGGATCTTGTGGTGCCTATCCGTGTCAGTCTTTCCCACACCAGTGCTCGGTACTCTGTGACCGGATCTCCATACACAAATGTCATAAAGACTTTTTTACCTTCTACCACTGCCTCGATGTCTATCAGACGATCATTTGAGAACAGGATTTTAACATCAAAATCATCCATATAGAACAAAGCTAGTCCTCCGCTTTTACCTTCCGGTTCCACGGTGAACAATTTATTATAACCAAAAGAAAATTGAAATTCTTGTATAAAAAAAAATTATTTTTTGTTTCTGAAAGAAAAAGAAAAGCAGGTGAAAAACAGCGGTGCAGCTCTCTAAAGTGTTGTTTAGTGAGGTAAGCTCCTGCACCTTGACAATTCCATGCTATTGTGTTCATATCTTCTTATTGAGTGGTTTCTGGAACCCAACCGAACCTGAAATAGCAGAAATCTTCTTGCTTAGAGCAGAAGGTAATACCTTATTAGGAGGGATAGATACTTTGCCAGAGGGAATAGTTTTATTACCGGTTCCCTGTCTTCTCCTTGGGAATGCTCGCCCTTTGAATTTGGTAAGCAACTTCAAAGCTCCTCCTCCACGTCCTTTTGGACTGTTGTGAATTCTCTTTTTCCCGCTTGCTCCTGTCGCGGTCTTTTGTTTCACTTGCTTCCGGGCTACTCCTTCTTTGCTAGTGTGTGGTGGAGCTATTTGATGACTAACTTTGTCTGAAACGCGTTTCTTGGGAGAAGGGGTAAGTTGAGAAATGGCATCTATCTTTTCGTACTCATCCCCCATCTCATCTCCTAATAAGTCATCTTCTTCCATCTCCTCCTCATTCATCACTATGAGCTGTTGTGCTTTATCCTTCTCGGCAACTTCTCTATCAAAATCTTCAAGCTCTTTGTCGGTCATAAGAGGTGTCAGGTCCCCTCCCAGTACATCCGATCCCAGCTTCTCGTCCAGCTCCATGATGTCCTCATCCTCCCGTGCAAGTTCCTCTACCAACTGGGTCCGTGCCGATGTTGGTGTTTCTTGAAAGTTTTGCTCCCGGATCACTATCGGGCCTGGTTTCTTTAGATAGCCAAACTGCACCAATTTTCGTGATCCATTTTCTCCTTCTATCTCTTTTGCTTTTCCTTTAATCCTCCTTCTCCTTTCATCCTCCGTCTCCTGATCTTGTGTTGCAGAGCCATTCTCAATCAGATTATGTTGTATATCCAGCCCCGCTATCTGGTCCGAGATAGTGCGTTGTGAGTCTGATATAGCTTTGGAGGTCAAGTTAATCTGTTGGCGCTGTCCTTGTCTTTCATGGGAGGAGAGTCGCGACAATTCATCCTCTCCGCCATCTTTTGCTTTCGGCTCCCATTTCATTCTCTATGTTTTTGGAGCTTTCTTCTTCCAAGATTTTTCATACTCCGATAACAGGTATGGACGAGTGTTTTGTTTTGGATGCACGCGATTTCGCGGAACTACGGCATCTATCGGTCTTTCAATGCGTCTCCACACTTCTTTGCTTCTATGGTTCCTCTGCTCGCGAAGACTGTATCGCAGATCCCTTCCTCTTTCTCTTATAACCTCTTGGCGAGCATTGTTATCTTTCTCCCAATCTTTGTGGGGACCGTCTCTGTTTCTATTCCCATAACCTCGTTCAGCCCCCTCTCCCCTCACTGCAACTCTGTAGTTCCCACTATCAAGTTTTTTGAATTTGTGAGGATGGAAGTGAGCACCGAGATTTTCCCCCATGCCTCTGTCCGAGTGTTGTACTCAAAGGTTTGCTATGTTTTGCTTAACTGGGTACGGCTCCAAGCTTTGTCCATCGGACCTTTGACGTTCGTTAGCCCCTCGATTGTATTCATGTAGCCGCTGTTGTTGATACTGTCTCTCCTCCCGCTCTTCTCTTTGTGGAGAGCGAATTCTTTTTTGGTTTTCATTCACTACAGTTTTGATTATTTGCGGCGGGGCCATCAGTGTCTTCTCCTCTGTTTCCCCATACTTATTTCTTATCACTCTTCGTTCCTCTGCACTTAAAGCAGGACAAGTATTCCCTTCATGTGAGAGACGTTTGCAATTGAAACAGTATCAATGTAAGCCTTCATACTCGAACTCCACTTTTCCGACATCCCCATTTGGGAAACCCACTCTTCTTTCAAACTTCAGAGGATCATCAGCGTTTACAGAGACTTGCACTCTTGCACTTTCAGCGTCAGTCTTCATAACTCTTCCCAGAGCTTTCCCAATGGCTTTGAAAGTATCATCGTTCCAATAGTGTACCGGAACACCAGTAACTTTGAGCCAAAACGGGAAGTCTTCCCTCGTTGAGGGTTCCCATCTCTCCAAAGTGAAACTCCACCGATTGAAGTGGCATGGCCACTTGGTCAGGACCTTCTCCATATCTTCTTCACGATCAAATTCAAACTGGAATCGTCCATTCCCAAGATTTGAGCCTTTCACTCTCCCCTCTACATCCCATATTCTTGCTCTCGGCAACTGTGTTAACAAGGCTTCCGTGTTTCTTCCTTCCCGATAGAGCATTCTCCCAATGAGAGTTTTTTTTAAAACGCTCTGGAGCAGCCACCAGATCACAGGCTGGGAGTTTGATGATTTCATCGTCTTCCATTTCCAAGCGTCGTCTTGTTTGCATTGAAGGCCCCCCTCTTTGCACTGTGTTTTGATTCGAGATCATTCTTCAACCCTTACTTACTCCTTAACCGTAGTCGTAGATTGTAGATTCGTACCCTCCGATCCCGAGATTTCTTCTCCCTCACGAAATCAGTCTAAACCGTAGTACAAGACTAGAAAACTGATCTCGGAGAAAACTATAGGAGAGGACGAAAGAGTCGTAGCAATAGCTAGAGTAGACACCACTATGATTCAAAAACATGATCCCTTCACCACTGAACCCAGCTGATCCAAAACCACAACACGATACGATCCCGATAAAAACAACTTTCGTCACGACCGTCTCAATCCCCAAAGGTTACAAGACACTTATCTTTGTTTGGGAGACGCTCCAAAAAAAGGTTTGTGTATTAAAGTGGCATTTGAGAGAAAGTTTACATCTATTGAACCTGAATTCGACTTCTAACAACCTTTTTAAAAAAAAAAAAAATCCTGGAAATAATTTAGAGAAGAGTAAATTTAGATTTCAATTCCAAAACAGAATAGGAAAATCCCAAATAAAAAGCAATCGATTAAACCTAAATAATTGATCAATTTAGAAGTTCTTTGCTTATGCTTTGGTCTGTCTTTCTTCTCATCTTCTGGTAACTCTTTTTAATCTTTTCTCTTCTCTTTTATATTTTTCAGCTTTTATATATTGACGAAGCTTGCTGTAGGATTAGTACTTCTAAATTTGTTAACTTAACATTTTGTAGTTGTAAGATTTTATCAATAGTCAATAGAATGCTTATCTGATATATTGTTTGTTTTATTATTAATTTTAGAAATTATGCCTCTAAGATCACATCCATCCAAAACAAAAGAAAAATAAAGATGATGCAATTGCTAAACCACATCAAGATTCTATTCATAAATTTCTTATAAAACTTGCAATTCCTACTAAACTTGTGAGAATTGATGATGAGTTTGATGAAGCTTTCCGAAATTAAAATTGATAAAATTTTATTTGCGATTAATTATGTCATATAAAAGATTGAATGATCTAGATATCAAATCTATCGAAAAAAATCTGCTTAGGAACATAGATAATAAGAATTTAGTAAAAGAGTTTATTGAAAAAAGGTAGAAAAATTATGTCGCAGTAGTTTTAAATATTTTTTGTTTTTTCACATTTTGAATTTAATTTTTTTAAAAAAATAAGACCTATTTTTTTATTCGTCTCTACTCTTTATAAACTTAGGCACAGTCCTACGTCACCGTTCGCTAACTTTTTAAACATTAATTCAGATTTTTTTTTTTATTCATAGTCATTTAATTGGCATTCAAAACTTTGGCATAAATATTTTTGAAAAAAAGCAGAATGATCTTATTCACGCCATCAACCTAGTCATTCGTGTAAAGCCATGGGATATTCGACAAGTTAGTCAGGAAACAAATCAACACAGTCATTTTGCATCTAGTTTGGATGTAAACTTTCTCGGAGACATATAAGTGTAAGGACATCACTTTCTCTGTTCTCACACCTTAAGAAGGCCCATTAAGCATAATGTATTAATGTTCTTCATGTAGGATTTTTTTTGGTTCAGGTTTTACTTTGATTTTTTTATTTCTTGTTTCTTTGGTTCTGTAATATAAAATTGTACAAACGTTTTAATAGTGTAGCTCTAAATCTTATAGTTGACAAAAAAAAAATAGAGATCAACTTTTTAATTTAATAACGATGTTGACTGGCTGCTGTAAAATAAATGTTTAATTCGCTGTAAAAAAAAAAACATTATGTTTGCGTTATCGTTATCAAATTTCTGTTAAGAAACAGACCACTAGGAGATTGCCACGTCAGCTGCTTTGGTTCTTCACTTTCAACTTGTTAGCCGAACTAAAAAAAGGTAAAAAATCTAATAACGATGTTGACTGGCTGACAGTAGCTAACAGTCGATTTTTAAATTAAATTATTTATTGCACAGTGAGAGAAAAAAAAAGGAAAAACAAAGAGTAAAGTGGAGGAAGAAGGAGAAGAAACCCTCTTTTTTCCTCTGACTACTCATTTCATGTCGGAGACTTCCCGGAAACTAAAGAATCTCTTCAACGGAGACTAAAATTTTCTCTCTTTCTTTCCTTATCTTCGTTTTAGTGTTTTCCCCTTTGCTTACTTTTGAAGGAAACGAGAGAAGATAGCGAGAGAGAGAGAGGGAGAGGGAGAAAGCGATAGAGAGAGAGATGTATGTAGTGACGCCTCCTCAAAGATCCGATTTTGGATCCAACTGCGATTTGCGGGTTTATCAAGCATGGAAAGGAAGCAATGTGAGAGCTTTTGAATTTCTTGCTTCTGTGTCATAAATTCGGATTATTTTGTTCCAATCTTGTCTAGCTCTAAAATTGGAAGTTGGGTTTGTCTTAGAAGCTTTGTGTTAAGGGTTTTGGTGTACAATCCACGCTCTTGATGTCGTTGTTGGTATAAATCAATAATCTTTCTGTTTCAGGTGACTACACTGTGATTAAAATCTTTAAGCTTTAACCAACAACTTAGGGCATTATCTGAATATCCTTGCTACATTTATGGGATTGCTTGTTCCTACAAAGAGATATATAGTTGATACTGTGTGTGTGTGTGTGTTAAGGTTGTCTTTTGGCTTTCAGTGTCGAAAATGTGACATAAAGATGAAATCTTTTGGCTTTAACCAATAACTTAGGGCGTTATCTGAATATGCTTGCTGCATTTATGGGATTGCTTGTTCCTACAAAGAAATATATGGTTGATACTGTGTTTATGATAAGGTTGTCTTTTGGCTTTCAGTGTCGAAAATGTTACATAAAGATGAAATCTTTTGGGTTTAACCAAGAACTTGGTGCGTTATCTGAATATGCTTACTACATATATAGGATTGCTTCTTCTTAAGAAGGTTATATAGTTGATACTGTGTGTAACTTAAGGTTGTGTCTTGGCTTTCAATGTCGAAAATGAGACCAAAAGATTAAATCTTGTTTAGTAAATTAAACATTTTGAAGCTATTCCCCAAAATCAACATTTCTTCTAACAATACTCTTTTTGCGTGTTCCATTTCTGCAGATATTTTGTCTTCAAGGAAGGTTTATATTCGGGCCAGACGTAAGAACACTTGCTCTGACCATAAGTCTCATTGTTGCCCCTGTGACAATCTTCTGCATCTTCGTCGCTAGCAAGCTAATTCAGGACTTCTCTGATAGTTGGGGAGTATCAATAGTCACTGTTGCTGTTGTCTTCACCATTTACGTGAGTGGTAACATCTCACTTTTGCATTGCAAATGTTTCTGTGGCTGGCTCAGGAGTATCAATAACAGCTAATGCTTTCTCCCTCAGGATGTAATTCTTCTGATGCTAACATCCGGAAGAGATCCAGGGATTATCCCAAGAAACTCTCATCCTCCAGAGCCAGAAGTTCTTGATTGCAGCACGAACTCAGGGACAAGCCAAACGCCGAGGTTGCCTCGCGTAAAGGAAGTAGAGGTTAATGGAACCATATTTAAGGTCAAGTACTGTGATACTTGCATGCTCTATAGACCTCCTCGCTGCTCACATTGTTCGATCTGCAACAACTGTGTAGAGAGGTTTGACCATCACTGTCCTTGGGTTGGTCAATGTATTGCTCAAGTAAGTTTCTCGGTTTTATCAGTTTTCATGTACTTGTGGTCTCTGCATCAGTCTATTTAAGTCATCTCATGTTTCTTTTGGGGGTTTTGCAGAGAAACTATCGATTCTTCTTCATGTTTGTCTTCTCCACAACTCTTCTCTGTGTATATGTGTTGGCCTTTTGTTGTGTCTATATAAGGAAGATCAAGGAATCTGAAGATGTAACCATCTGGAAAGCAATGCTCAAAACTCCTGCTTCCATGGCTCTGATACTCTACACATTCATATGTATGTGGTTCGTTGGAGGCTTAACAGGTTTCCATCTCTATCTCATCAGCACAAATCAGGTACCTAATCATTTGTGTTCTCTCTGAGAAAAAAACCATCTCTACGTTTAGTCGTTTGAATCTTCTTTTGTTTCTGCAGACTACATATGAGAACTTCAGATACAATTATGACCGTCGTAGCAACCCACATAACAAAGGAGTGGTTGATAACTTCAAAGAAATCTTCTGTTCAGCGATACCTCCTTCTAAGAACAACTTCAGAGCTATGGTGCCGAGGGAAGCTCCGTTGCCGTCAAGATCAGCAGTTGGAGGTTTCATGAGTCCAAACATGGGAAGAGCTAACGATGAGATTGAAATGGGGAGGAAAGGTGTTTGGGCAATGGCTGAACATGGTGATGACAAGAACGATAATAACAATGAAAGGTTCCATGTTAACGACGATGAGCTAGGCGATTTGTCATCAGGCATTAGGACGGATGTGGATGATGCTGCGCAGATCGATAGGCGAGAGATTCACCCGAGGAACTCAAGCTGGGAAATGTCACCGGAAGTTATGGCCTTAGCTGCAAGAAGAAGCTAGAAACATGCCAATAGAAAAACTTGAGAGGTGTTTTTTTCAAATGTTCTTTTGTATGATTTCAACTTTGATTTATTGATGTTGTATCTTGGGTTTATAGGGAAATCAATTGTGAATTGATATGATTTTTCCGGAAGTTTGTTAGTTGTGTTCAGACAGTTAAGATCTTAATCATTGTGTTTTAATGTAATCTGTTATCTTAACAGTAATTTATCTTTCACAGGATGAGAGAAAACAAAATAGATACAGATGATTTTTACTGTACTTTATAACTGTGCAAATAATAAAAAAAAAAGCTGAAACTGAATTTTCAGACATGTGGACCAGAAGACCAGACCAGTCTTATTTATAGTGTTCATTGAAGCACGGCTCTGCAGTAAATGCAAAAGAACCCAAAAGTCTTCTTCTTGTTCAAAGTTCTAAATTAATACTATAATTTATGTAAATTTGTAATGTTTTGATACAACAATGTTAGAGATGGACGTTTAATTCATGTACAGAGTCAAACAAAGTGGTCAAGTAACAGACTAAATCATTTGTAACTGTTTTTAACTGAGAATGAAGTTAACTGTTCAAGTCAAAACCCATAATAGACAAAGACAATAAAGAGAGTCAATAGGATTTGTACATCAATAAGTGTTATTTTCTATGCACATGTTATAATTTATACAAAAAGACGAACCATATTTCAATTGAAATGTCACTATTACTGTTTTAGCATCCTCTAGCTCCTCTTTATTTAGAACCTTTCTTACCATGTGAGCAAAGAGCTCACAAAATCCCCTGCAAAATCTCTCTCCTTTAATCTTACTTTCATCACTAAATAGCAAAACCTTAGATACCAAATTTTAGCAGGTAGGTTTCTCCTTTTGTCTTTCTCTTCAGACCTACCAAAACGAGATTTGGAGTTTTTGGAGTTGACTTTAGGTTTGATTTTGTTGTTTTATTTCAGTTTACAGGGAGAAAAAAACATGTATAAGAATCAGCTTCAAGAGCTTGCACAGAGAAGCTGTTTCAACTTACCATCATATACTTGCATAAGAGAAGGACCAGATCATGCTCCAAGATTCAAAGCTTCTGTTAACTTCAATGGTGAGATATTTGAGAGTCCTACTTACTGTTCCACTCTCAGACAAGCTGAGCATGCAGCTGCTGAAGTTTCACTTAATGTCCTTTCCTCTAGAGTCCCTTCAAAATCCTTAACTGCTAAGATTCTTGTAAGTACTCTCGTTTCTTCTGGGTTTTGATCATATACAACAACAAAAAGAAAATCATCATTTCAATCTGTTTTCAAGGACGAGACTGGGATATACAAGAACCTGCTTCAAGAGACAGCGCATAGAGCTGGTCTTGACCTACCAATGTACACAAGTGTTAGATCAGGATCTTGTCACTTCCCAGCTTTCTCTTGCACTGTGGAACTTGCTGGGATGAGTTTCACCGGAGAATCAGCAAAGACAAAGAAACAAGCTGAGAAAAATGCAGCAATTGCAGCTTGGTCCTCTTTGAAAAAAAGTGCTCAAATCTCTCTCTATTCCAAGCTCCATTAACCTTAAAAGATTATCATTTTTTCTTATTGAATCCATCTTCTCTTTGTTGCTGGGCAGTGTCAAGCTTGGATTCTGTGGGAGAGAAGGAAAATGGTGAAGAGAAGGAACAAGAAGTAGTAGCAAGAGTACTCTCCAGGTTTAAACCCAAAGAAGTAAGAAGAAGAGAGACAACGAACCAATGGAGAAGAAGAACAAGTCAACAAGAAACAAACAAGGATCTGTTGATTGAGAGATTGAGATTGATCAATCTCTTGACCAATGAAGCTTCATCATCATCGACAACACAGAAACAACACAAACCCAGTTTCATCTCTCTGGTTCCACCAACACAAAACCAGCCATTAAGAACAAATCTTCAACAACACAAAGGCAAATCAGGACAAGAAGCTAAGCCAGAGACAGAGATTATCATCACAAAGTCGTTTCCGTTGCCAATGCCTGGTCATAAAGCCACAAACAGATTCAATTACCAAATCCCATTTTCCGACAAAGGCAGATTCAATTTCGCCGGAGGCTGTAATAAGCTAGCTCCAGCAGTTCAAATCAGATCAGTGATTCCAGTTTTCGCAGCTCCACCATCGAAACCTAACCCTAACCCATCACCATCATCGTCGTCAGTCAATGAACCCAGATCCAGCAATTCTTGCTCTGTTCCGGGATTGGGAGGTCAAGAGAAGAGTATAGATTCGAAAATTTTGGATCAAACCCATGATGAGTTAGCTAAAGTCGGTTAAGGGGTTAATCTCAAATTAATTCCTTTTCGATTGTTGTTTTCACATAGATAAAGAATAACAATATAATTCCGTCTCTTGATTGTGTTCTTGTTCTTGTTTGTTTTGAAAATTTTGAATTTTCTGGGCCGACATGAATTTGAATGCTTGCGTAATGCACGGAGAACGAAAACAGAGAGCATTAAATTAGGGAAGAAGAAGGAAGATGGGACATTGCAATTGCAGGTGAGAAAGAAAGCAATAAATGGGTTTTGTCTTCTGCCATTAATGCGCCGATTGCTCTGCTTCCCACTCTTCCTCATTAATGGCTTTGCTTCTGTAACGTCGGTTCGAGCCAAAATTATTTATACTCTTCGAAAACACAAATTCTACTACATCCACAAGTTACATTTTTGTGAAATAACCCAAACTTTTGTTTTTGTACCCAAAACCCCCCAAATTCTTCTTAAAAAATATACTAATGATTAATAAAATATTAAATCATACAAATAAGAGTATAACTGCATTTATTATCAAATTAATTCCACTTGGAACGTACTTTTATCAATCAAAACCAGTTAAGCTAAATTGTTATAAATTTTTTATTTAGTTAGTGAATAATACAGAGAAGTACCAATGACTAAAGATATACTACTACTGTACTAGTGAATAATTTTGTAAAAATGTTATACTTCAGTTGTAAAGTTATACTTCGATATACATATATCACCACGAGGATCGGGTCTTAATTATTTGGGCCGAAAAAATATTTTGGGGCCACCTACCTTTTTCGTGGGCCGTTACAAACCGAAACACAGAACTAGTGTGACCTACAAAACCATATTACTAACCGGACTGATTGTTGTACTTAACCGGTTACGTGTCTGGCTTTGGAAATTTAGTTATTAACTGGGAAAAAAATTAGGTATATATATATCCACTTTCGTTAATAACTTATACGGTTCTCCTTTTATGACGTGGATCCGAGTAGCAGAAAGCTCACATGTTGGTGGATCTAACCCACGAGCCAACCATAATTGATTATCCAAGTTGATGTCCGAAATAAAAAAAATACTTGATAATCCATTTTCTCATTATCTTGACAGAGAGATCTTGCATAGGTTACACGTCAGATTTTCGTGGAGGAAATATTTTAAAGTTGTAATTTAGAAAAGTAATTACTATGCTGATTCAAAAATACCACTATTGCTTCGAATGTTATCGTTGACCAACCAAAATGTTATTTGCAAATCTCCATTCTCTTAAGAAAAAATGTAAGAAGATAATTAGATAAATTACAACAACTATATTGCATTTGTTTTGTTAAAAGACGCACTTTATCAACAATACTTTATTGCATTTGTTTTGTTAAAAGACGCAATTTATCAACAATATACTCCATATAGTTTTGGTAAGTGGTCTGTTTAGAAAACTTTCTTTATTTCTTTTGTATTTTTTAGAATTAGGCTAAACATATTAATCTTTATTTTTTTCCTGGTTTTCGCTATTTTCCCGTCTCAATTCTGTTTTCATATTTAGGCAGGAATCTTTTTAAATAAAAACAAGAATATTTTCTCTATGTTTGGAGGAAAAAAACAAGAACAGTGACTGAGACGTGCAAGATAAATATTATCTCCAATGACTCGACGCCGCGTGTAAGATGAGAACCGTACTCTTTGTCGTACCAGATCCCCATAAAAGGCGGGAAGAAACAATCAGGAAAAGCACATTGCTGACGTGGAATGGAATATTCGGACGCGGAGATCCAGCTCCTTTTTAGCTCCTCACCTTATATAAATACACTGATCATCTTTTGCAACAAAAAAGAAAAACCAGAAAATCAAAAATCAAAAATCAGAAAATCGTCGTCACACACATTTCGAAATCCCTAATTTACTCTCTCTCTCTCTCTCTATTACTCGTGAGAAATGGCTCTTCGTACTGTGCTCGTCTCCGACGTCCCTAGCCTCCCGGAGTCTGTTTACGGTCTATCAGAAGGTAACTGTCGATATTATCTCTCTAGTCGCCGGCGATTTGGCTACGTCGTCGTCTTCGTCGTTGCTGATTTTTTTCTCTGACTATTTTTGTTAGGTTTGGATTTTAGCAAACCGAAATCGTTTAGGATGCCTGGATTCTCTGTGATTGGACACAGGGGAAACGGCATGAATGTGTTGCAATCGTCTGATCGGAGAACGAGAGGGTTTAAGGAAAACTCCATTCTCTCTTTCAACTCCGCCGCCAAATTTCCGATCGATTTCATTGAGTTCGATGTTCAGGTTGGTGCTCTGATCTAATTGTAGTCGGCTAGGTTTTTGGATCGTTTTGAAAAGGCTAATCTTGGGGATTCTGTTTTCGAACGGGATTAAAATTAAATGTGGAAGAAGATTTCTGATTTAGATCTCTTTTTTTCTGGGTTTTGTGGAATACTATTTATAGTTTTCTTAGAATTGATATGAAAAATAAGAACAAGAAGATTGGAGAAAGAGAGAGAGATGGCCATAGAAGCATTACACGAAAGTGAAACGACGAGCTTTGTGTGGTGTTTTCTTTTGTAGGTGACAAAAGATGATTGTCCTGTCATTTTCCACGATGACTTCATCTACGCTGAAGAAAATGTGAGTCTACATTGCTTCTCTTAAGATCTAATCTTGATATTAATCACAATGCAAGATTCATCATTTCTCTAGATCTTGGCTTGATAGATCTGTTTTTTTTTTTCCTCAGGGTATTGTTAATGAGAGTAGAGTGACCGACTTGTGTCTATCTGAGTTCCTACTCTACGGACCTCAGAAGGAAGCTGCGAAAATAGGAAAGACCCTGATGAGGAAATCCAAAGATGGTAAGGTTTTGAAATGGGACGTTGACTTGGATGACTCCCTTTGCACGCTACAAGAAGCTTTCCAACAAGTTGAACAGTCTCTCGGGTTCAACATCGAGTTGAAATTCGATGATAAGACAGTCTATGAGCGAGAGTTTCTTGTCCATGTCCTGAGATCAGTTCTGCAGGTATGCCCATTTGTCAGAAAATGCTCACTGTGTGTTGAGATATGTGTCACTCAACCTTTTTGTTTCCATTGGGTAAAACTACAGGTGGTGTTTGATTATGCTAAAGACAGACCAGTGATCTTCTCTAGTTTCCAGCCAGATGCAGCAAAGCTTGTTAGGGAACTGCAGAACACTTACCCTGTATGTACCGTTCTCAGCTTCAGTCTCGTTATTTTCTTTCATAGTTCCAAAAACTCGAGTTTTTCCACAAATCTTGATCAAATTCAGACACTAATGGTTGTTATCCGAACTGAACCCAGGTTTTCTTCCTGACTGATGCGGGGAACGAGATTCACAATGACCAAAGAAGAAACTCACTCGAAGAAGCCATTAAAGTTTGCTTGGAAGGAAAGCTTCAGGGCATTGTTTCAGAGGTGAAAGGAGTGTTTAAAAACCCAGCAGCCATTAGCAAGATCAAAGAATCTAACCTCTCTCTCCTCACATACGGCAAACTCAAGTAAAGATTCTTCATTGTTTTTTCTTATCCACAATCAAATTATCTTCTAAACTCTAAAATTTGTGTGATTCTACTTTAATTAGATGTTAATCTATTTTAAATATGGTGTTGCAGCAATGTGGGAGAGGCAGTGTACATGCAATATGTGATGGGGATTGAAGGAGTGATTGTAGATTTTGTTGAGGAGATTACAGAATCAGCGAGACTCATGATGATAAGACCACCGTCTCCATCACCATCACCATCACCATCACCATCACCATTGCAATCATCACCTTCCAAGGATGATGTTGCCATTACAAGACCTGAGTTTTCACAGAAGGAGATTGATTTTCTTCTCAAGCTTCTCTCTCAGTTGATACAACAATGATGATCGATCATCTCTGTTTTTTTTTTTCTTCTAATCATATATTTTTTTTCGGGTTTGATTTTCTTTGAAATTTTTATCTTTCTTCTTGATATTATTTTTTTATTCTTCTGGGTGCTTTGTCCCCCAATAATGAAACTGTAAATAAATCTGTAATTTCCTTACTTTTTACATAGATTAATTTATTCCATAGCAAATCAACTATCAACTTCATCAAAAGAACTGATTACCGAGACCAATTATGAATGAAAATATATATTAAAAAAAAGGATGACCAGTGGTAGTAATAAAAATTTGCAAGCTATTTTTAATAATTTTAGTAAAATATATTTGATTTTATCTCCTTTTGTGCAACATTGATTCATTTCATCTCTTCCATTAGGATTTTTTTCAATTTTATTTTACTATTTTAGTAGTAACTAGTAACGTTTGATGTTTTTGTAATAGAACTATCAAATTTACTACTAGAGTTGATATGTTTTTGTAATAGTTTTTTATGAAACAAATATTCTCAATTATATCCCAATTAGAAATTGAAGTATTTGTCATTGATCCAACCATTGAAAGGATGCTTGAAGTTCCAATCAAACTACAACTCACATTGTTCTCCATCTTCTCTGCCTTAACTATGAAGAAAACAAAAGACATTCGTTTTTTCCCTCTTCATCAGTATCAAATTCAAGAATCCAATTCCAATAGCCACAACAGAAAGTCCCTTTAATATAAACGTACTGAAATATAATTGATTCACGTCGCCAAATAAAAAAATTTGCAATTCAGTTCAGGCGGATTAATTCAACTAATAATAATTTCCTACAACATTTAGATTTATCCCTCCATGTCCAAATTCGAATCCAATTTCCCTTCCAGTCAGTTCAAATTGTAATCTGTGCAACTAATTTTTGATATTTATCTAAATCTGATCATTAATTCAATATTAGTTTTCGAAGTTTCTAACAAAATTAATAAATTGTTTTTATAATAAATTTTATAAAAATATTTAGGAAGACTAAACACATGCATAAGTTTAAATTTTGGTCTAGAATAATCATAGTTTATGCACTTTTGAAGCAGAATTGAGTTTTTCTTTTCATTTTAATTACCTTTTTAGTTTGTTCATTTCTAAATATTTATTAATATATGAATATTAGAACTAACATAACCTTTTTAGTTTGTTCATTTCTAAATATTTATTAATATATGAATATTAGAAGATAACCTTAAAAAAATTTGGCCAACGCACAATTAAATAGTTATCCTTTTTAAATTAATCGTAACTTTTCTTTATTTAACAAAGAACATGCATGCGTGGCGTTGTATTTACCTATTTATAATTAAAACAAAATAAAAAGAAGTGTTTTCCTTTTCCTATTCGTATTAGGAATTGTAATTGACTTTCCAAAATTATAAATTGTGATTTTTTTTTGCGTTTCGATATCGAAACAATCTCTCCATCCCAAAAAAAGATCTCCATCCCAAAATCTTGGCCATTGATCTATTCTTTTTATAAAAAAAAAATTTATAATGGAACCAAAACACAGAGCTTTGCCTGTCGGATACAGGTTTCGTCCGACAGATTGTGAGATTTCAAAATATCTTTTGACAAGAAAAGCTTTGGGACTACCGATAGAAGTTCGTACTGTACCTGAAGAGTTACATGAGATCTTCTCTATGCATCCTCGTGATTTGCCTGGTAAGGGTTTCTTGTTTCGGATCTTAACTTCCAATAATGCCAAACCATTCTAGGGTTTGTTTGTAGAGTTTTATCTTGTTAATGAAGTAATTTTCGATCTCTGTTTCTTTCAGGCTATCGAAGAGAAGAACATTGGTACTACTTTTGCAGAAAACGTAACAACCAAGTTACTGCCAACACTCGTAATATATGGACACAAGTCGGAGAAGAAAGTAATGTGTTAGATCCAAAGGATAATGATGCATTAGTGGGTATCAAACGTCCATTTACTCTCGTTGAGGACGAAGAAGAAGGAACCGATGATATTTATATGTCAGATGAAGAAGAACCTCCAAAATTCAAGTGGTTCCTGGACGAAATCAGCCTCCCATTGACTGCTTTAGACACTGATTGGGTATTCTGCCATATTTATAGCATGAAGATCGAACCTGATATTGTTGAAATGTCTGAATCTGAGTCCGAATCCGAAGATGAAGAAGAAGATAATGAAGAAAGTGTCTCTGCACAGAGTGTGGATCTTCTTAGAGAGAAAGATGTAAATGTTCTTCCTCCATCTCCTTCTCCACCTTAGCTTCTAATGATGGTTTTATCAAGGTGTTCTTGGATTAGTTTTACTTGATTTTTTTTTTTTTAATGATCACGAATAAAAAGAAAGAGAAAGGGAAGAATTTTCTAAAGAGTTTAAGAATCAGAATGAATGCAGAACAGAATCTCATCAACCATGATATATAAATAATAGCTCTTTGGTATCAGAGAACTAGATTCTCAATACCTATCAAAGTCCAAATCTTTTTTACCTAGTTACACTATACATAAGTCATGGTCACCAAAAATTGTTTGGTGCTTTTCATAATTTTCCACTATCAGTAAAAAAGGTTTACCCAAACCTCTAAACACTTTCCTTGCATAATAGGTAACACGAAAATGAATTAGAAACAAACAAAAAAGAAAAAGAAAGAAAGATTAAAGAATCTCTGTCGAACAAAGTCTCTTTTGTTTTAGGTTTCTTCTCTACTGATGATCTCTTGCTTAAATAATAAATCAGTTAAGACTTTGGTCTCTTGCTTAAATAATAAATCAGTTAAAATCAGTTTAGCCCAACAATAATTAGCCCAACTTAAAATCTGTTATAAACTGGGCTAGAGATAAATAACTGAGGCCCACATATTCACATCAGAAAAACAAAAAAAATCTTTGTTAATGAGAACTATATCTAATGATTATCTAGCCCAACTTAAAATCAGTTTCATGACAAATAAGGTCTAACAATAAGTCACTTACGAGTTGGGCCAGAAATAAAATGAGGCCCAACTATTTACGCATCAAAATATTATTATCCGTGCTCATAATTATCAGCGGTCATCATATAAATATAAAGTGATATAATAATATATGATCTGTCCCTTTGAAATCAAAAATCAAAAGTTCAAATCCAAATCCTTGACGGAAAAAGGGCAGAGATGTTTGACCAGCTTTAAATCTCCCGGTCAAACCCAAACTCATTAATGATGTAAGTATCACTTTATTTTTTTCCGCTTGTCATAAATCTTTGACTTGTTGACTTTTTCCCTCGCATCTCCTTTATATCCGTTAAGATCTCGCCACGTGTTAATTCTCATATCTGATCCATTCATCATACACGCGTGAGATTTCTCCCCAATCTTGGTCTCGTCTCCGTCTTTCTGGTGTTTCGATCTGTTTCTTTGACCAAAAAAACTCTTTTCGCTTTTTCTTTCTTCCTTCAATGCCATTTTGAACACATTCGTCGAATACTTGAATCTCACTTCTTCCTCTCTCTCTATCCATCTATCTGTTACTCTGATTTAGTCTCTCTTAAACTTCATTTGTTGGGAAATTATCGAAGTCGCCGAGGAATTTCTGTTTCTTTTGCTGGGATTTTCGTGATTAGGGTTTCTGATTTTTTTTCTTCTTCTCGGGAGATATGATGAAAGCTTCGTTTGGGAGGTTACGGAGATTCGCATTGCCCAAAGTCGATGCGAATGATATCGGAGAGCTTTTCCCCACCGCACAGATTGATGGGCTTGCTCGAGCCGCAAAGGTAATTTCTTCTTTTCACTGATTTTTTCTCTTTCTGGATTCTCACAAAAATAAATTATTTCTTAAGTTAGGGTTTTACTAGGTATGTAGTTGCTTTTGATCTTCTTCGAACTAAGATCGAGTTTCTCTGGCGAATTTTCCGATCAAAACGTGCTAATCCATCACCATTTTCTGTAACCTGGAAGTATGAAAATTTCCACAGAAACTCTCGATTTTATTGCAAATCACACTAATACTCTTACCAGTTTGGAAAATTTTGAAATTTGACATTTAATTATGGTAAGAAATTGAATGAATCATTGAATTGGATTGTAGCGAGCGATGCCAATAAATTGGTTTATACAATTGGATATGGTGATAATAGCCTAAGTTGTGATTACTCTTATGGTTTTCAGGATATGCAAGAAATGAGAGAGTGTTATGATAGATTACTCTCTGTAGCTGCTGCCACTGCTAATAGCGCATATGGTAAATAAGCATTTAACTCTATGAATCTCCACTGCTGATTTATATATGGACATTTAGTATATTGTTAGACTTAAAATCATTTTCTTTGGTTTTATTTGGTAATATCAGAGTTCTCTGAATCACTGGGAGAAATGGGTTCTTGCTTGGAGCAAATAGCGCCGCATAATGATGAAGAAAGTGGTAAGCTTTTGAAGACTTATCTATCATGGAAGTTTCTTTTGTCCTGTTTCCATTATCTGTAACATTGCTTCTTCTGCAGGTAGAGTTCTGCTAAAGTTAGGTAAAGTTCAGTTTGAGCTTCAGAAACTCCTCGACACTTATGTAAGTTGTATGTTGCAACCTTGTACTTTCCGTGAAGCAATATGTATAATGCTAAACAAAACTGAGTAAGTTCTTGTTTCACTCTCTTTTTCCTTCAGCGTTCTCAAATATTCAAGACCATCACTAGACCTTCAGAGTCACTTCTCAGCGACCTTAGAACCGTCGAGGTATGCCATATCTTTAATCTCCTATAGTCATAGTTTATACTAAAGCCAGAAAATTTCACGGTTAGAGCAAGATCTAAACTTACTAATCTGCTCTTCTTTTTCTTTTTCTTTTTCTTTCTCTCTCAGGATATGAAGCAACAATGTGAAGAAAAGAGGTCAGTTGTTTTCTGCGGTGTCGTGTTATTCTTTTCTTGGTTTTGGTTTCATAAAATCTTGCCTTAACCTCCAGAGTCTTACTAACAGGGACGTTGTTAAGCACATGATGATGGAGCATGTGAAAGACAAGGTACAACTTAAAGGCAGTAAAGGGGAGAGACTCATTCGCCGTCAGTTAGAGACTGCCCGTGATGAGCTACAAGACGAGGCGACTCTGTGCATTTTCCGATTGAAATCACTCAAGGAAGGGCAAGCTCGAAGTCTCCTCACACAAGCAGCACGCCACCACACTGCTCAGGTACCTTATGAATAAGGTTACTACTATCTCTGGAAGAAACTGCAATTGCTCAACTAGTGTTTCTTATGCTTTCTTTTTTTATATTTGCGTAGATGCATTTGTTCTTCGCTGGTCTAAAATCGCTTGAGGCAGTAGAGCAACAAGTCAAAGTTGCTGCTGAGAGACAACACATCGACTGTGAGCTCCCTGATCACGGGAACGATATGGAATGTAGTGAGGATGATGATGATGATGACCGACATGTTAACAGAGATGGAGAACTCAGTTTTGACTACATAACATGTGAGCAGAGAGTAGAACCTACACCGCAAGGATCGATGAAGGTAATTTGAAAACGAAAACGAACCTGAATTCTCAAACAAAAGTTTTTATCCATACAAAATAAGCTCATTTGGCTTTTATTCCCTATAGATGGATGACACAGATCTCTCTTTTCCTCGCCCTTCACCAGCAGGATCAGCAACAGTATGTGCTTTCTTGATTTCTCATTTTATGTAACTCTGAACAGTATAGGAACTCTGTGTTGAGGTCATATTCTCTGATGCAGGTGAATGCAGATCATAGAGAAGAGAACCCGATTTCATACCGAGATCGCAGAGCGAGCAGCCATTCAGCACCGTTGTTCCCGGAGAAGAAATATGATTTACCGGAAAAGCCGACGAGACAGATCACTCCGTCTGCAAATGCTTACGCATTACCAACTCCGGTCGATTCAAAGACCTCATCGATCTTCACAAAACCGGTCACCCAAACAACAAGCCACAGTGCAAACTTATGGCATTCATCTCCGCTTGAACCGATAAGAACCGCTCATAAAGATGTGGAAAGCAACCTCTATTCTCGTCTTCCTCGTCCTTCAGAGACTCCTCAGTTTTCGCAGCACGAAGCTGCACCAAGACACGCGTTTTCTGGACCGCTTAAACCATCCTCAACCCGTCTTCCAGTTCCGGCTCAGGCTCAGTCATCTTCTCCACGGATCTCTCCTACCGCTTCACCTCCGCTCTCTTCTTCTCCACGGATCAACGAGCTCCATGAGCTTCCACGACCACCGGGCCAATTTGCACCGCCACGACGCGCAAAATCTCCCGGTCTGACTGGTCACTCAGCTCCTATAACCGCTTGGAATCAAGAAAGAAGCACTGTAGTTGTGTCCACAAACATTGTAGCATCACCACTTCCTGTTCCACCGCTTGTTGTACCGAGAAGCTTCTCTATACCATCAAGAAACCAGAGAGCCATGGCTCAACAACCCTTGCCCGATAGGAACCAAGATAGAGTAGCGTCTCCACCGCCTCTGCCGCTAACTCCAGCGTCACTGATGAATCTCAGATCTCTGTCTCGGTCTCGGGTCGGTGAAGTTGCTCAGAGCGGTCAAATTAGAGGTAACGAAACACTCTCTTTTCGTAATCTTGGAAATGAAAAATCTTCACCAGCAATGATTTTAAGACATGGGTTGTTTATGTCAAACGCAGGAGTAAAACTGATTGAACGATGAAGCTGTAGTAACGTCGCGTTCGATCAAAACGTTGGTTGTAGAGAAAGAGACCCTTAAGTAAATATAGAAGTCGATATTTTGTAATTCTTTAGTTGTCGAATCTCCTAACTCGTCACCTGAGAGTTTTCTTTTTGTTTCCTAATATATATTCTTTGTTTTTGTTCGCTAACTTAAAATTTTAGTTAAAGATTAGTGAATTAGAGAAAATGATGCATTACAAATTCCATGAATTTTTGGGTTTGAGAGCTGATTATTATCTACGTTTCTAAAATTCTAATTATGGTATTCTGTTTTATTAATGGGAAGTGAGAATGACAGTAACATGATCTGATTCTTTTGGTAGAGGAAGAAGACGACGACGTTTACCCTCTCACGTGATCCAGTCCACTAGTAAATGGGCCCAATTTATTAGGCCCACTGAGGATAAAGACCTAAACTGTTCTTTATAATCTATTCTCTCATTTGATTGAAATTCTTTTTAGCATTATTTGATTGTGTATAATTTTGCATTAAATACTAATTTTGTGATCGTGATTTGTGAGTTGCGTGAGACTGATTTATTTTTTTAACAGTCAAATCACATACAAAACCGTGAGAAATTAGGGGTTGGAGTTAAAAAAAGAGATGAAGATTTTTTTTTTTGGTAGGGAAAAAAGAGATGAAGATAACCATTATTGATTTATTCTGCCGTTGGAAAAAAAAAAGTAAAACGATTATAATGCCAAATGGTTGTGTACAGTACACCAAAGTTTCCAGAGAACCAAAAAGAAAAACAAAAAAGAAAAATAGAGAAATAAGGAAAAAAAGAGAGCGATGGAAATGGTGATGCGGTGTTGGGATTTGTTTATAAGCAAAGAGACGACGAGATATAAGAGAAGAGGTCTCATCATCTACATTCTTCTTCTTCTTTTTTCCTTTCCTTTCGAATATTTTCTTCTTTTTTCGTTTGTCTTCTTCTCCAATTCGCACGGATTCACTGTTGTCGATTTGGGGTTTCTGTAAAATTATTGCGATTTTGGATTCCTTATGAAAAAATGTTTCCTCCACAGATTCTGTAATCCATTGCTTCATCGGTGCGTATAGTCATTGATTCTTCTGGTTTTTGTTAAGTTTTGGTGTTGCTCCGATGATGAGAGAATTCTCTTCGTTGTTTGATCAGTTGATTCTTCTACGATTCATGATCGGCTCTAAAACTTTACTTTTGAGCTGCATATGATTGTGCTTTCGTTTGTTTGATCATTGCTTAGTGATGTTTTTGCTTTGTGAGAATGATTTTGGTTCTATGTCGCTTGGTGCTTCTGAATCATATCATCCGTCATCATTTGTTAATTTCGTGAAATTTGTGTTTCTATGTGCTTCACTGGATCCTAGGCTTAAGAAACTTTTGAGAATGGTTCATCAATCATGATCTGTTTTGATCATTTCTTACTTCTACAACATGCAGCTCAAGAATCTGCTAGAATAGTTTTTGGATTCGTGGTGGATATGTAGTTGATTCTTCTTCTCCATTTTTGTTCATTTCAGGAGAGAGCAAATCCTCAATCATTTTCACATTTGGATCGAATAGATACGGTACAGGAAACTGTATAATCTAAAAGTGAGAAGGTTGTTTCTGCATTGGTATGGGTTTGCCACAGAATGCTTCAGATGAGCAAGCCCATGAAGCTTTGTCGTCTGCTTCAAGTTGCAGCATTTCTCAAAGTCTGCCTGTAAATGCCACTCCATGTGATTCAGACGGCGTTCACAGAGGCGAGGGAAGCCTTTGCTCCTCCATTGGAGAATTTGATAGGGAAAAAACATTGGGAACTTTTGGGTTTAGGGATTGTTGGCCCGAGATCACTGAAGTTCGAAGAATAGTTGGTTTCCAATCAAATGAAACTAGTAGCTCATCGAGTCATGAACACTCGAGTATCAGATCTCATGAAGGTGGATCCTTAGTCAGGAAACGAGTGAGCTCTCCTCTGAATACGCTTTTACCTGAAAAATTCATAGGCAACCACCTTGATATCGGCTGCAGCAACCAACAAATGACTTCTGCTAGTCTTTCTAATGCGCAAGATCACAAAAAGGCCAATATCTCAGCGTCACACAGGAGTAAACTTTCATCTATCGTTTTCACGGATGGTCCACTGCTTGACTCCAGTAATTTGCAGCCTACAAATGGTGTGTCTTGCTTATATTCACCAGTTCATGTAACATCTCAGATACCGGTTAAGCCTATACCATGCCATAAGAGTCTATCCGTCTCTCCGTCACTTTCTCTGTCACCTCTTGGCCCGAGATTTATCGAGAGAATGAAAGCTTTACAAGGGGGCCTAAAGATCTTCGAAGATAGTGTTTGTGTAAGGAATACCGGTGAAGAAGCAGAGCTCCGCACCATCCAGAGAGCGTTTTCAATGGAGAGAGGTATTGAATCAGTTCCTACATCTCCATGTAAAAGGTTTAGTAGAAGCTTGAGCGGACGTCCCATTCAAAGATCATTGGTTGGTTCTTTTGAAGAATCCCTCTTGTCAGGAAGATATTCGAATGGGCAAAGTAATCAGGTATCTCACTTGCTCCAAAACTCACAACAAACTCGACATTTTACATTTGACTCACTTGATCTCTCTCTTTGTATGTTTCTTTACAGAAGATCGACGGTTTTCTTGCTATTCTTAGTATTGCTGGTGGAGACATCTCTCCAAAATCACAGAAGCTTCCATTCTCAGTAACAAGTGTTGGTGATGATTGCTTCTTACTATACTATGCCTCCATTGATCTCTCTGGAAGATCTCTACCGAACAAATTATGGGGACAGAAATTGAAAACGAACCAAAACAACTCTGATTCTCAGAATATTAATAGCCGGTTGCGGATACCTATGAAGGGTCGGATTCAACTGGTAATCTCTTGTCTCTGTGCTTTTTTTTTTCTTCTCTTCATAATGAAATAAAATTAGGATCATTCGATGACTGAGCTATTCTATTTTGCAGGTTTTAAGTAACCCTGAAAAGACACCTCTTCACACTTTCCTCTGTAACTATGACTTAACTGACATGCCACACGGTACAAAGGTACATGTCCTCCCTTTGCTTCAATCGTTTTTCATCTTGTTTTAGGCCTCAAATGGTTTGTTTGCATTTTTCACAACTTTACATTAGTGTGTGCATTTTTCACAACTTGAATAGTAAAAGAATGTGAAACAATGTTTGATCAATTCTTGTGTTGTGTTATGATCAGACCTTCCTGCGCCAAAAGATTACTCTAGCTTCGACAAAAGCCAAAAACTCCATAGATGCAGACAACCAAACTCTTGCATCAAAATCTAGCAAAGGTTCTGATTCAGTGGATGAAGTTAATTCTCCAAGTGAGTGTGAGAACAAGAAGTGTCGTGAGACTTACAGAGAAACAGGACAATGCTGTTCAAAGTCTGGAGTCTTACGCTACGCTCTTCATCTTAAATTTCTTTGCCCTTCACGCAAGAAAGCTTCAAAATTAGGTCAGAAGAAAAGCTTGGATGATGGAGAGAGGAGATTCTATTTGTACAATGACTTGAGAGTTGTGTTTCCTCAACGACACACAGATTCTGATGAGGGAAAGGTATGTTACAAAAACTGAGAAACTTATGTAAAATCATTTGGTGGAGTCTCTTTCTTTTTGGGGGAGTGGTTAACAGCTATTTGAACGCAAACGCAAAACGCTGATTTTGCTTTTGAAATTGCAGTTGAATGTGGAGTATCATTACCCAGAAAATCCAAGGTACTTCGACGTAACCAGCTGAATCTACGATTCCGAAGTTGTACGGTACATTTGTTTTTCTTTTGGTAGAAGAACAAAAGTAAAATAATATTGTACATAGTCTAAAGAATAATCTATTTAAAAGATTTTATAGCCAAAAGGCCCATAGCCATTGGTTTAATAAAATGGCAATGGCCTACATATTTTCAGATGGATATTGTTATTAGCTAGGCTTTACGTAGACGACGACAAGCATTCGGTTTTTGTATGCTTTGGCGCCTAAAATTAAATTTACGGATTGTTTAGAATATTAAACCAATTAAAAAAGGTTTAATTGGGCCAGTATTTAAAGGCCCATTAATACTTGAAAATACCCCCAGGGCCCAGACGATAGCAGCAAAAATACCCTTGCATTATTATAACTTTCACCGAACACCCCCGAAGTTAAACAGATAAATCTACGAAAACACATCAAACTTTCTAAACTTGCATAAAATTTAGCACCCCGGAGTTAATCAACTTTTACATTAAAAGCCACATACTTTTATAAAGTTACAAAATAAACCCAAGTTTATGTTTTTTTTACTTTGAACCCCACACAGTTAAATTAGTTTATATTGTAAAATAACACAAATCTAGTAACTGTAATTTACTGATCTCGGAGATCAAAGGTTGGGATTTGAGAAGAGAAACCATGTGAGAGGTAATAAAGCAGCCTCGGGAATATGTTTCTGTAAGGATCCTTTTCTCTTTTAATCTTCAAATAGGTCATACATCTTTCTACTTCAGACTTGACCTGCAAGTAAACCTCATGAGCTTTCTCCTTGTCATTTAGCTCTTTCTCTTTACCTTTTGTATCTATCGGTTTTCCAAAATATACGTAAAACCTTCCCGGAATCTTTGGAATTAGTCCAGGCATATGCAAATCTTGGTTTCCCACTTCGCCTTCTTCCTCGTTCCTAATCATCATATTCATCACCATCAACAGATTTCAGAATCAACTGTTGTATACAATCTTGAAAAGAGAATGAAGATAAAAAAAATACCTTAGCTTAGTAGTGTCATGTGTTATCTCATCTATGATATTCTTCAGGAAAGGGATCTTCATTTGATCATTGTAATCCAAAAACATCTGAAAAGTTATTCCAATTGCTCAAAGGAGTTAATTACTCGAAAACCGATTAAAACAAAAAGGGCTTTAGCTCGAACAAAGAAGAGATTTTGCATTCTAAAACTAGTTTTAAAAATGCATTTGATCATTCCATTGCTCTAAAACCGATTGAAACAAAAAAAAAAAAAGGTTTCATGATAGAACAGAGAAGATTTTTCTGCTTACTTCACAGAGATCATCTTCTCCAACAGAACCGAAAGGAACGATTTTCGCTCCAAATTTAGACGCGATCCTTACAAACTCTGAATGTTCTGGCCAAAACAACTTGTATTCTTCACCCTGTACAAATGTGAAGCCTCAAAAGTTTCAACAAGAAGGGCCAAACAGGAAAGAAGAAAAGAAAAAAACACAACCATTACCTTTCTGTGCAAAGCTTCACGGACGCCTCCAGGATACAAAACCACATGAGCCTTTGAACGAAGAAGTTTGTAGAAGTTCACATGCGAGACGGGAACCGCGCCTATGATCCTAACCGAGTCGAACATCTCTATATCAGGGAGTTTTGAGCCTGTTTTTTTGGCAAACATCACGGGATGTGCCAGTCCACGCAGCAGAATGTTTCTTTCTTTCAAGAAATGAATCGCTGCTGGACGCAGTTCGAGACCAAGCAACATGTGATTGCCAACATACAGAACCGGTCCCTCTGAAGGTATTCCTGCAAGTGATCTTACCACTGTACCGTTGTCTAGAGTTGAGAGAAATACTGGAGAAGTAGCATCGATTAGCAATCTGCACCAGAGAGAATCATAATAGTCATACTTCAGTTAGCATCAATCATATATTTTAGCTAACCTCTGAATGATATACGAACTTTGTGCTAACTATACAGAATATTTTCACTACATCTAAGTCCAAAAGGCGTTTTGACTCCTACAATTAGACCCGGCACAAGGATATTGACACGAAAACTGACTCTCAAGTTACCTTTGTGATTGTTCAAACTCTTTGAGCTCAAAAGGAGTAGGCAGAATGTAATCCGAAATGTAGTCATGTTCCTTTGCACGGCGATAATAATAGGAAATCTTGATGATTGTCGCCAGATCTACTCCATCCTCCTAACACATATAGATCAATTGAGCTGTAGATTAGTAAAACCAAACATAATCTGAAAGTTTCCTGAACTAAATCTGATGCGACAAGTTTGTCTATAGGTTATATAAACTAGTAGAGAGTAGTTTTGCTTTATGAGCTAAATTGATAGGATTCACAATATTGTGAATCTATAAGATAAAGCCAGAGACTCACTGACACAAGGAAACTTTCTTGCGTCAAGAGGAAGAGCACCTTACCAAGAAAGGAAACTGTCCATTATTCTCAAAGTAACGGACTTCACATCTCGGCAATGCAGAACGGAGTCTTTCAATGTCTTCCTTGTTCAGTAACCACTGATCGCGTCCACTGCACCATATAGCCGTATTAAAGCTACAACTTCTAGTTATAGTTAACAATGAAACAGAGAAGTTTACAAGTCTATGAACCTCAGAAGTAGCAGTGTTTCGGCTTTGACTGTGTGCATGTGAGAATTAGCAGATGCTGAAGCAGACTTAAGCAGTTGGAGCTTCCATAGAAGTGTGTCCTTGGGTAAGATCTTCATCAGAGTCTGCAAATCATTTGAGTTTATCATCACATGACATATAGCGAATGACCAGAGAAAGTTTAATCGAACCAAGAACAAACAAGAGAACATTACTAGTTAAACACTATGATCTGCAAGACAAAACAACATGCAAAATATCATTTGTTCTCCTCAGATAAGAGTCTTACAGGAAGATTAGCTGAAGATGCAAAGAAGTCTCCTAAGAGTCCACCACCCATCTGCGCGATAGTTTCATTCAGCATACTCTCGAACATTGCCGCAAACGGATAGCCTATAGAATAAAACACAGTTAAGCCCTGTCTTTCAAGCAAAACTAGGCATTGAAACCCGTGTTTGTGACATAAATTTGTAGACCCTAGTCTTTGCATACAAGGAGTTGAAACTTTCACCTTCTTTAAACCCAAAATTCTCCTCTATCAAGCTGGGAACTTCGTCAGGCAATATTTCCAGTAGACTCGATAAAGGTTGCAACATCAAGTTGCTGAAACGTGTGACTGCATCAAACAGAGTCTATTACTGAGCACGAGACAAGATGCACACAATACATTAGAAAAAGTGAATAGTCTTCTTTTTACCTGGATTAGCCAGAAGCAAGACAAGATCGATGTCGGGGTTACTCGCTGCAACATCCAGAGCAAGACAAGCTCCAATGGATTCTCCAACCATATAGATGGGTCTGTTTGGGAAACGGTAGTACTCTGACCTAACTGTCCTCTCAATGAGCTTCACAATGTCTGAACACAATAGAGAGAGTTTCATTCAGATAAGATTAATCTCGTTGGTTACAACTTACAAGACGGTAATGATACAATAGAGAATGCTAAAAATAGAATACCTCGAGCAGGAGTACGATCAGTGACTGGAAAGTGAAGGCACCATATGTCAAATATCCTATGATCAATAGATAATGAGATCAGAAGAAAAAATATATTCTTTATACACTAAGGCACTAAAGATTTCAATATAAATATGGTTAAAGGAAGATCGAATGAAGTTGGAATCAAACAGTACTTACTCTCCAAGCCTCTTATGCTGGCGAATCATCCCTAATCCAGTACCATCGATCCCTGCAAATTTAGATTTCTGAGTTTTTTTTTAACAAATTTTTTCACAATTTTTGTAGAGTTCTATTGAATGAATTAGGAAGAAACAATAGCAAAATCGATCGAAAGGACTATCGATTTCAGCTCTAAGGTTAAAAGTGACGAACCAGGTATGTAGAGGAGAAGAGGAGATCCTGGAGCTCGTGAGCCACATTCCAACGGAGAGAACCACCGAGGTGGACCGCCGTCTCCGCCGTCTGATCTGAAGAAATCTCCAACTTCCAACACAAAATCCGCCAAACTCTTTCGCTCCTCCGGCCGCGCCGCATCGGTGTCCGAGTATGGATTCACCGTCGCCGTCACTTTTCTTCGGCCACGGAAACGCCCGATCGCGACGGAGGTCAATCGTTGGGTTGACTTACAGTGGGAAAAACCGAGATTGTGAGCTCTTCTCGAACCCGAGGAGAAGATGGGACAAACTCCATCGGTAATGCGAACTGTGGTATTCGCCATTGACCAAAAAACTCGGAGATCGATGGTTTTCTCGGTAGAAAAGCATTTTCGTTGTTCAACTTCATCTTCAAGCGAGCGAACACGACAAGTTCGTGCTCACGAGAAAACGGCGATGACTGCTCCGCCATTTTTGCCTCTCTTTCTTCTATCGAGGTCGAATTTTGGGACTCGACATTTCGGTTCGAATTTGGTTTAGGCTCGATTTTACGTGAACTCATCTCAGATAATTCGGTTTGATTCGAACCAAATCTGGGTTGGTTGTTTCTCAACGGTTTAGCTTTTACCCCTCTACCCTTCCAACGGTAAAATTGGATCAATTCAAAACACAAAATACGGGTTGTGAAATTCCCCAATATCATATAATGGGCTTAATATTAGCCCATTTCATGGGCCGAAAGTAGAATTCACGAAGCCATTTGTACTTATTAAGATCTTTTCACCTAAAATCAAAACGCAGCGATTCATCTTTAAACTTGTCTGAACCGACCGGTTATAAGAAACACCGAACCGGTGAGTTGGCTAAATAAATGGGGTAAAGGTGCTTCACGTGGGCACATTGGGTTGTCGCTCATGTGAGCACTACTTGATATGCTCGTAATCATTTCACAGCTTTTTTTTTCCCTTCTAATAATTTATCTTTTACACTGCATTCATTAGATTTGTTGGTACGTTCATAATACTATATCTGTAATAATATATATATATATATATATATAAATATGTAAGAACACATTAGAGAGTATTCATTTTTTTTCTATTAAGATACATTAATGTAACGGCAAAGCATTATATTTTATAGACAAAAGTGAATGAAACAACTTCCAATTAGTGTATCAACATGATTTTACGATTTTTGTGTGTGACAACGGTCAATTTTACGATGTTCTCTATCATGATGATTATAATTTATATAGTAGAACGCATTTTTGTCTACAGAGAGTAAGACGAGGAGTGACATTTATATGACGTAACATATTCATGTAATTCATGATTGTATTTTTTAACAAGAAATATAAAAATAGTAATATTTTGTCATTTATAATCACATGAGGCTGAGGTTTTATGCTTTATAAAACAAAGTAAAATGTCACTTTCATTTTCACATGCTGAAAGTGAGGACGGAGTGAAAAGGAGAATTATTTGCTGTATTAGTCTTATACTTATCTTAAATCTCAAGCCAACTAAAACTATGATTGTCTCATATATATGTTTCAAGCATTTTATTTAATTGATTTGGTACTATGCTGAGGTAATAGACGTTCTCTATCAATTCTCCATTTAGATTTTAATGGCTTGATATGGTCACATGCCCCTTTTTTTTTTGGGAAAGCATGCGATCAATAGATATTTTTACATCAATAATTGCATTACTGCTCTACAGTAAATGAAAAATGAAAATGAAAGAGACTATACACAATCTTATATTGGTGGTTTAATGCCGTAGACCACTTAGCCAGCCACTCGGCTTCTGATCTGGCATGCAAATACAGATTTGCAGTCGCGAAGAAAACCAAAAAAAGATATGGTCTAATGGGTCCAAACATTGGACTGGTGGTAATATCTGTTAAGAATTCTAAGATGTAACATATTTATATAATCGTATATTTAATTTAAATATAGAATTGCATGCAGTTGGTGTAATTGATGCGTCCTAAAATTAAAAATGGATGTAGTTGGTGTGATCGATGCAATCAGTGAAAATACGATTGATACGATAATTAGCTTACATCTTAAAATATTGCAACTCTGTATTTGTGTCATGTCTTATTTTTAATTTTAAGAAAGTGCTAAATCAATGTTAATGAAATAGTATAATCTTTTAACTATCTTTTCAGCTGAGGATCATTTATTTTTTCGCGAATATACATTTTTAAACACGCACATCCTTCAACATCAACATATTGCACATTTTGTTTGTAAGACTAGCGAGCATATATAAGGCAAATACTCACAAGTTTAAATACATTTGTAAGTTACGTACAGTTACAGATTACCTGTCAATTGTAAGTGACTTGCCGATCACGTACTTGTTAGTTATAAGTTACTTACAGATTATTTGCAAATTTATGTTAATATGATTATTGTTCATAAATCTATTTTTATCTGCTTAAGTTCACTTTAAAATTTCAGCTTGATTTTAATCTGTGTTTCAAATGTTAAAACAATAATAAAAGAATATCTAAAATGAAAATGAGAAAATAAAAGAACGACTTAATTGATATGTCAAGAATACATCGGATATATATACAAGCTTAAATAGCCGACTTTATTAGGTTTGTACTTATCTCACTAATCTATAGTATTTATCTATAACTCATATTTATCTAAGCTATTTACACATCATTATCTAATATTCCCTCTGAAGTTGGAAGTGTGTAGATTTTGAACACCCAACTTGAATAACAAACCTTCAAACTGAACCTTTCCAAGCGATTTAGTAAGAACATCGGCTAACTGTTCGTGAGTACGAACATGCACCGTAGAAATCAAACCATCTTGAACAGCATCCCTTACTTGATGACAATCAGATTCTATATGTTTAGTGCACTCATGAAACACAGGATTCGCAGATATGTGGATTGCAGATTTGCTGTCACAAAACAAATGAGCTGGTCCAGCAGGGGGTGCTCCGAGATCAGTCATTAACCTCCGAAGCCACTTAATCTCTTGTGTAGCTTCCTCCATTGATCTATATTCAGCTTCAGCTGATGAATGTGAAACCACATTTTGTTTCTTAGCCTTCCACGAAATAGGAGACCCTCCAAGCAACGCCACAAAAGCACTCAAAGATCGCCTGGTGTTAGGACATGAAGCCCAATCTGCATCACAATACACCGACAGACTCAAATCTGGATTTGAGCTTAACAAGATCCCTTGACCTGCTGTACCTTTCAAATACCGCACTACCCTTAAGGCAGCTTCCCAATGTCCTTCTCTAGGAGTTTGCATAAATTGTGAAAGAATATGAACTGAATAGCAAATATCTGGTCGAGTGATGGACAAATAGATCAATCGTCCTACCAGTCTTCTGTACTGCTCTGCTTGCTTCAGAAAAGCACTTGTATCAGATCCCAAGCGATGATGTTGTTCCATAGGAGTCGCTATAGGCTTTGATCCAAGTAAGCCTGTTTCTGCAACAATATCAAGAGTATACTTTCTTTGTGAAAGCATAAATCCTTCCTCTCCTCTTCCAACCTCGATTCCTAGAAAATATTTAAGCTTTCCCAAGTCTTTCATATGAAAGCACTTGCTCAAATAATCTTTAAACTTCTCCACAGATGCCAAATTATTACCACAAATCAGAAGATCATCAACATAAATCAACACTCTTAATTCAACATTCCCATGTTGATAAACGAACAGCGAATAATCGGCATAAGAATGAGTGAAACCAAACTTCTTCAAAGCATCTGTAAGCTTAGCATACCAGCATCTAGGAGCTTGTTTTAGACCATAAATCGATTTATGCAATCGACATACTTTCTTAGGATCTGAAACACCAAAACCTTGTGGAAGCTTCATATACACTTCTTCATGTAAATCTCCCTGAAGAAATGCATTTTGAACATCCATTTGATGGACTATCCAACCTTTACCAGCAATGACTCGCAACAAGCCTCTAATACTTGTCATCTTAGCTATTGGGACGAAGGTTTCATTATAGTCTTCTCCTTCTACTTGCTTGTTTCCCAAAGCTACTAATCGAGATTTATATCTCTCAATGGAACCATCTGACTTGTATTTTATCTTATAAACCCACATATTTCCAATTGCTTCTTTTCTGGGAGGAAGATCAACTATACTAAACGTTTTGTTGAGCTCAAAAGCTCCAATCTCTCCTTTCATTGAGTTTCGCCAAACTTCATATTGCACAGCTTCTTTGTAGCTGCATGGCTCAACTCCAGAGCTTACTACAGTCAAGAAAGCTTGATGTGCAGGAGAAAATTTCAAGTCAGATATGTATTTTTCAAGAGGGTATGGTGTGTTATCTTGGACCATTTTCGGTGACTCTGATGATGATGAAGCGATGGGAGAGCGATGGGGGTCTTCAATGCAGCTTGTGTTGTATACTACATAATCACGGAGCTTGACAGATCGTGTCTTCTCTCGATTTCCTTTACCAAGAGCTGTCTCAACAACAGGTATACTCATTCCTGTCGGACCTGCAGTTTTTACTGTTTCTGCAGTTTTTTTTGATTCTGCAAGTTTTTCTTTCTCTAATTCAGCAGGTTTTTCTGAAACTGCAGTACACTCTGTTTCGAGAGTCTCTGTTCTGCAGCAGGAGCATCTTGTTTTTCTGTTTCTGCAACCTGATTATCATCAGGCTTTTCTGTCACACTATCAGCATTTGTACTCCCCCTCAAATCCACGATGGGAGCTTCTTGTATGATCCAGTCTGTATCAACATTATTAGGGGATGTCATAAACGGCGAATTTGCTGAGAATTCTTTAGCTGTTTCTGCAAACGAAAACTCATCCTCTTTGAATACAACATCTCTCGACACCAGAAACTGGTTATTCTCAATATCATATACCCGCCAACCCTTTTTTTCCAAAGGATATTCCACGAAAATACACCATCTACTTCGCTCTCCAAATTTGTCCTTGTCACGATCTCTTCTGTGTACATAACACAAGGATCCAAACACACGAAGATGATCATACTTCGGTTTTTCACCAAATAGAGCCTCATACGGAGACTCTCCTGTGAGTACTTTCGTAGGTGTCATGTTGATTACATGCGCAGCTGTGGAGATGGCTTCTCCCCAAAACTTCACGGGCAATTTCGCCTGAAACAGCAATGCCCGAGCAACATTGAAAATATGTCTGTGTTTTCTCTCCACTCTCCCATTCTGTTGAGGAGTTCCAACACAAGATGTCTGATGTACAATCCCATGCTCTCAGAAGTATGAGCTTAAACACATAAATTCTGTCACATTATCACTACGCACCTTCTTAACAGATTTGTTAAATTGTTTATCCACATACACACAAAATTTATGCAACACGCTTTTCACTTCTGATTTTTTCAGTAGCAAATATGTCCAAACAGATCTTGTAAAATCATCTACGATTGTAAGAAAGTACATAGCTCCACATGAAGCAGGCACACGATAAGGTCCCCACACATCCATATGAATTAACTTAAAACACTCCAAAGTTTTATTAATACTATCGGGAAAAATATCCCTAGTTTGCTTGGCCCGAAAATACACGTCACAATGACTTGGGCTAGCTTTATTCAAAACATCCGAACACTTGAACACAAAATCAGAAAAGAAAGAAAAACCTGGATGTCCTAGCCTACGATGCCACAAAACTTGATCAGAATGTCCATCAGTCCTGTTAACTCTAGCTGCTACAACATCTTTAAAATAGTAAACCCATCACGCTCCTCACCGGCTCCAATCAAAGTCCTCGAAGAATGGTTCTGCAAAACACATATTGCATCAGTAAACAAAGCAAAGCAATTTGTATCCTTGAATGTTTGGATACTGAAATCAAGGAGCAATTCAAATCTGGCACATAAAGAACATCTCTCATCTGTCAAAATCAGAACACCAGAACTTGCAGATATTGTTGTACTCCCATCAGCAAAACCAACAATACAAGGAACAGTTTCCTTCACATCTATAAGCAAAGAGAGGTCTCCTGTCATATGATGAGACGCCCCTGTGTCTATTATTACATCGCCAATTTTCTTACCAGACAGCTTTTCAGAAGAACCTCCAGATTTGCCTTCCTGGATGATTTGAGTGATAGCTTTCCACTGCTCTTGAGAAAGTTCTGGAACTGCCGAAGCATGAGGACTTAACTCATGAGCTGCAAGTGCTGATCCACGTCCTCCTCCTCTTCCATAACCATAGTTTCCTCCTCTTCCGCCTCCTCTGCCTGAACCTCTACCACCACGCCCATTTTTCTCTGTCATCCATTCTGGATAGCCGATTAGCTGCCAGCAAGTACTCTTCTCATGTCTTATCCTCCTACAATGAGAACACAAGCGGTTTTTGTTGGAAGTCCCTCCAACAGACTTTGTTCTGGTTGCATAACTCATAGCTTCATTTTCACGACGAGATAAGAACCAGAGTTGTCTTCTGAATCACGATGGGTTACAAACCCAATCGCATCCTGTTTGGGTTCGCAGGATTTGGCCGAGTTGTATCGTACTTCTTCATGGATGACTTTGGCATAGACTTTGCCGAGGTCAGGCAGATCATCAGCTTCAATAATTGCAGTAACAACATTACCGAATCTTGCTTCATCCAATCCCATGATGAACTGATGCACCCGTTCATCCTCTCTTTCCTTCTCATACACCGAAGCTGCTGAACAAGTACACACCGGTGGAGGTTTGTATGTCTGTAATTCCTCCCACATAGTTGCTAACCGACCATAATAATCAATCACCGCCTGTCCGTTCTGTCCATCAATTGATGAATACGTACTTTGTTACCAACAGCAAAACGCTTCTTCAAATTTTCCCACAACTTGTGAGCATCTGTTATAAATGTCACAGTTGATCGAACTCTTGGCTCGATCGATGTTCGTATCCACCCAACTATCATCGAGTTAACACTCAACCACGATTCAAGATCCACACTGTCCTCCGCTGGTTTCGGTAGAGTCCCGTCTATAAAACCTGTTTTCTTCTTTGCTCGAAGGGCGTTCAACATCTCCATAGCCCATTCATTATAATTATCTCCTTTCAACTGAACGGAGGTAATCATAGCACCCGGATTATCCGAAGAAAATATCGAATAAGAAGAAACCACCATTGTTTCACTCTGCTTCGCCACGATCTCACCTGGTTTCGTTTCTTCGGAAACGTTACTCATCGTAAAATCTTTTGGGAAAATTTGTAATTGTCGTCCCACAAAAGAAAACAGAAATCGATTTAGATTGATCTCTGCTCTGATACCATGAGAAAATAAGAAAACGACTTAACTGATATGTCAAGAATACATCAGATATATATACAAGCTTAAATAGCCGACCTTATTAGGTTTGTACTTATCTCACTAATCTATAGTATTTATCTATAACTCTAAGCTATTTACACATCATTATCCAATAGAAAAAATTAAATAAGTAACTGAATCAATCAAGTATATATAAATTATATTATTTGTTACTTGGTTTGATAACAACATGCATGTATTTATATCATTAATTTGTTACTGGACAAATAACGAGTATCAGATAAATACCAAATATTATGCTTAGCCCCTACCAGTAATACTTATGACTTATGAGTATAACGCCACATGAAATTCATATTTTGATAGTATATTAAACCTGTTAAATAAGATACTAAAGAAACGCTGAGAATACATGGTGTATTGCATGCAACTTGGTATATTGTAACGTTAAAAATAAAAAAAAACTTGGTATATTGTGTTTTATTGCTTGAGTTAATGTTTATAGAATCTTAAAACAAAACAAAACAGTTATGGCAACAGAAAATGAAAAAGAAAAAGAAAAATGTAATGTCATGTCGAGTGAACCTTATGTGGATAGGTGTCAGATTAAAGCAGCGAGAACTTTACGAAGCAGTTAGGTTTATGACGGTTGGGGCAGCTTCCGTGACTTCATTTATGAGCTGTTTGTTGAACTCTGTCTGATATCTGGCATCGAATAATAGTCGATTTGAAAATGTTCAATATCACTGGTCAAACTGTTAATTTTAACGTACAAACATACCCAAAAAAACAATATTTTTGTTTATAGTCTTCACATAAGAAGAGAAAACAAATGTTTTACATAACATATAAACTAGGTCTCGACAAAGTATCCGCTATATTCACCCGTTACGTAAAATTGGAATATGTTGCAGAAAACTATCATCGTGTATCAGTGTACAATGTTTACAAATTACACTAAGATTAAAAACTAGTTTGAACAAAGTGTAAGATATTTGTTCCCAAGAAAAAGAAAAAGGGTAAGATATTCAATGTTGTTTTATTAAGACTTTGGAATCTTTAAAAATGAAACCATCGGTCACGTAGACACCTTTTTTTAAGCATTTTTTACTTCATTTTATATAAATAAGTTATACTATAAAAAACATAAAAAGTGTTGGTTTTAAATATATTCGAATACACTTTTAATACATATGTTTTGTATTATGTTCGTATAAAAAGTGTTGGTTTATATATTTGTATTCACTTCTATGATTTGTTCACTAGATTATATATACTGATCACCAATCCCAATCATTTACTTGTATTTATATATTATATATCTGCAAGGCTGTTTGGTATAATGTATACTTCATTGACTTGTATTAATATAATTATAGTTACAAATACGACTGTTTATATACTTTTATGTATTTTTTTTGGGTGATCTCAGTAGTCACTAGTAACAATTCATATATTACTTCCCTTAAATAGTTGCTCTGTTTAAATTGACAGTTGTCTATATTTTATAATGTTGTCCAAATAACATACTCTTCCAATACTCACAACACTCATATCCAATAACACTACAGGGGACATCAGGACACCAAGTTTTTAGTGGTATATAAAAAAAAGTCTTTCTCTGAATTAAAAATAAAATTCATCACTATTATCTGTTTGTTGTATAAGGAAATACAGCTGCATATATACCCCACAAGTATTGGAATGTGCAGCGAGAAGACAAAATAATAACTATAAGGTTTTGATGTCACACAGCTTATGAAAATTGGCATGTTCCCGTGTCCAATGATGCATTTAAATTTGATTACATCTTTTAGTAAATTAAAAATTGGATAGGCAAACATATCCCACATATCTATAAGACTAAAAAAATTTTATATGCGTTAGAGTTGTAACATAACTTTATTAATATTATCGAAAATTATGGTGAAGATCCTGAAATAATACCAACTGCAGATATTTTTTTTAATTATATTTGTTATTGAAAAAAGAAAAAAAAAATTATTGTGCAGCAATTAAGCTATTGAGTTTTACATATGAGATTGGGCAATGCTAATTGTTACATATCAAAACTTAAAAAAAAAAATTATAAGCAGTATATTTCGTATTCACCAAATATATTTGTTGGCAAAACATAATTTGCTCAGGTAAATATGGAATAAAATAGGGATGATTAATCCATAAGTTGTTAAAAAGAATGATCAAACAAAGTAATTATATTAAAATTAACGCCAAAATTGACTTTTTCCTTTAGGGAAAAAATGACCGTTGCCTTTTTTATTGTATCATCATCGAGACCAACGACCATGCATACATTTATGTAACTGACTAGAATACCCCTATTTGTACGAATTGTGAAAACGAAATGCTACCAGTCGTTACAGGGCAAAATCGTCAGCTATTGGTCACACTGTTCCCTCCACTCAAAACATGCAGCTTTTTAAAAATAAAATATCATTTCGATAAATAAAGCTAATTTCCACCATGGATGAAAAAAAGAATTGTGGTGCGTGCCGTTTCAGTAGAAGCGTTAGATTTTTATTAATTTAATCGATTGATTGTATAAAAAAGATCTTGTTTCCAAATCTGTCGGTACAATTTTTTATACAAAAATAGAGTATTTGAACATACTTAATTGAGAAACAAAAGTTTAACTATCATTATGATCTTGTAATAACAATGGCTGAAATGGAAACACAATAAAATGGTATAAAAATTACGATGCTAGAGTTTTGACTTTTATAGTACATTAATAAAACCTATTCTGTTGCGCTAAAAACAGAACCCGTTGGCAAACTCTAAGCCTATTCGATAAATCTATTAACTAATTATTTGATAAACTATTCTTTAAACGTTAATTAATTGAGAAACTAATTATGATACAAAAGATAGTAGGAGTACAAGTTTTTGTTTAATTAATGTTGGGAAAAAACAATACGAGTAATTAATTAACAAAAACGTATCGTTCTTATTTGGTATTTAGAGCACTTTAGATCTACTTTTCGTTTATTTTGTCCCATTTATAAAAAAAATCCACTGGTGGAGCTAACGCTCGCGTCTTCTTCCTTTTGACGTTAATCGGAGTTAAACTCGTTCCGATTCACTGAGTCGACTCGGAGTAGGAGTGTGCCTTGGTGGATTCGCTACCGGTGATGTGTGTTCTCTTAGCGAGAATTGCTCTACATTGGACTGAAAGAGTGTTGAAAATGGCTGGTTCCCAGCGAGAATGCCCGGAGCTCCGGTAAGGAATACGGCGATCGATAATCGGCGGTGGAGATGTTTAAGTCAGCGAGATGGCGGAGCGAGAAGAACAAGATCAAAATCGTTTTCAAGTTGCAGTTTCATGCGACTCAGGTAATGTAGAAGAGAATTGTTCTTTTTGGATTTTAAAATTTTCCAGAAAATTGGGGGAAAAAAAATAGTCAATCTGACATCTGATATGACCAGTATAAACAGTGAAATTCAATTTTAAGCTTTAAAAACACTTCAAATCGTAGCAATAAAATGTCAGAATTTGGATCTTAGAATTTTTTTCTTCTGCAATGAAGAAATTTTCTTGTGTGATTGAATTTTTTTGAATTTTTGGTTTTTGTTCAGGTGACTCAATTGAAGGCAGAGGGATTAACGATCTCTGTTGTTCCCGGAGATGTTGGAAAGTCGACGGGAAAGCCAGAGAAGGCTATGGTTCTCGACGGTCACTGCCGGTGGGAATCTCCGGTTTACGAGACGGTTAAGTTTCTTCAGGATGTGAAGACCGGGAAGGTTAACCAGAGAATCTATCATCTAATTGTTTCAACAACGGTGAGGAAAAATAAAAACTTGAAGTGATGATCTCTGAGATTTCTGACTTCTAATAATATTTTGTGTTTTTTTTTTTTTTTTTTTTTTTTTGCAGGGATCTACAAAGTCTGGTCTGGTGGGAGACACTTCGATTGACTTTGCTGATTACGTTGATGCAATTAAGACTTGCAACGTTTCTCTTCCTCTGCAGAATTCAAATTCAAAAGCAATGTTGCACGTAAGCTCTCTCTTCCTCTCTCTCTCTTTCTTGCATTAATGTTTGTCATGAGACACCTGAGTAAGAAGCTCACAAGATTTTTGCTTCTTTCTCTCTTGAAAGATATTTTCTTGGTTCTGTGATGATACTGAGCTTCGAACTGGGTTTTTTCTTTTCATTATCAGGTATCAATACAAAGGCAGGTAGAAAATGCAGATCTGCAAAGGTACAAGAAACTGAACCCTGTCTCTTTGTCAAGTTCTTGCAAATCTTTGATTCTGTTTTTGGGGTTCTTATTGAGAGTCTCTGTTTTGTCTTTGTGCGCTCTGCAGATTGGTGAAAGAAAGCGATAGCTTAGTTAAAAGGTCACGAAGCCAAGATTTGAAATCACAGTTGAGCATTGAAACAGATGAAACCCATAAAAATGATTCACAAGAGGTACTTATACAATCTCTCTTTCCCACATTCTTTGATTTCTGAAGTCATTGGTGCTTTAGAAAGTTGAAAGAGTTTCTATTTGTGTTCTGCTTCTTTAGGAAAGCCCATTCGGTAAAGCTTCCCGGATTGCTGAACTGAGGCGTAGAGCATCGATTGAATCCGACAGTACGCTTTCAAGCTTTGACAGTGTCTCTGAACTTGATACACTGGGAGAAGTTGGAAGCAGAGGAGGAGATCTAAATCATCAAAACAACCCAACTATGCATACAAGTGTTTTTGAAGAGCCTCATATATCAGAATCTGAGTGGTCAGGAAGTTCTGATCAAGGAATCAGCACTGATGACTCCATGAACAGTTCGAGTGATACCGTCCCGAGAGAAACCACAAGGACTTCGTCTGAAGACGAGGTAGAGAAGCTGAAAGCCGAGCTCGTTGCTTTGGCAAGACGAGCAGATCTTTCGGAACTTGAGCTGCAGAGCCTGCGGAAACAAATTGTTAAAGAGACCAAAAGAAGTCAGGATCTCCTGAGGGAAGTGACTAGCCTGAAGCAGGAGAGAGACTCACTGAAGTCAGATTGCGAGAAGGTTAAAGCATCTGATAAACGGAAAGAAGACGCAAAGATTAGGAACAAGTTGCAGTTTGAAGATAGGGACCCGCAAGTTCTTTTAGAAGAAACTCGAGAAGAACTTGATAATGAGAAGGATTTGAATTCCAATCTACGGATACAGCTTGAGAAGACACAAGAATCAAACACAGAGTTGATCCTTGCTGTTCAAGATCTAGAAGCAATGTTGGGGAGAAGAAGAGAAGTCGATCTTCCTAGACCAAGAACCTGCGAGAAGAACATTGAAGAATCAAGGAGAAGGTCCTGCACAAGTGACACAGATGAAGATGAGGATCAAAAGGCACTAGACGAGCTTGTGAAGGGACACATGGATGCAAAAGAAGCACACATCCTGGAGCGAAGGATCACTGACCTCTACAATGAGATAGAGATCTATAAACGAGACAAGGACGATCTTGAGATACAGGTGGAGCAGCTTGCTTTGGATTACGAGATACTAAAGCAAGAAAATCACGATATCTCGTACAAGCTAGAGCAAAGCCAAGTGCAAGAACAGTTGAAGATGCAGTACGAGTGTTCATCTTCTCTTGTAAACGTGAACGAGCTTGAAAACCAAATAGAGAGCCTGGAAGCTAAGCTCAAGAAGCAGTCCGAAGATTTCTCTGAGTCTTTGTGCCGCGTTAAAGAACTTGAAACACAGATCGATGGCATGGAAGAAGAAATAGAGAAACAAGCTCAGATCTTCGAGGCAGATATCGAAGCTGTCACGCGTGCTAAAGTGGAGCAAGAGCAAAGAGCTATCGAAGCCGAAGAAGCCCTGAGGAAGTCGAGGTGGAGAAATGCTTGTGTAGCTGGCAAAATCCAGGATGAGTTCAAGAGAATCTCTGAGCAGATGTCTTTTACGTTTGCAGCAAATGAGAAGATGACTAAGAAAGCAATGACAGAAACCAACGACCTGCGAATGCAGAAGCGCCAGCTAGAAGAACTTCTCATGAACGCTAACGATGAACTCCGAGCAAATAAGGCAGAGTATGAAGCAAAGCTCAACGAGCTCTCTGAACAGACAGATCTAAAATCAAAGGAGATGGAGAGAATGTTAGAAACTCTTGTAGAGAAATCCAAGCTTCTAGAGAATCAGAAGAGGCAAGAAGAAGATGTTAATGCTGGTCTAACACAAGAGATCACAAGGCTGAAGGGTGAGATTGAGATCTTGAGACTTGAATTGGAAGAAGTCGAAGCATCTTTGCAAATACGAAACACAGAGGAAAGAGGCAACAAAGAAAGAATAAAACTGCTCGAGGTATGCGTCTAACACTGAACACATTCATTGTTTTAGCTAAATATTTTTGATGTTGATGCTAATGATTTTTGTAAAGCAGGAACAAATTAAACTAAAGGAAAATGCTTTAGAAGCCTCTTCAAAGATGTTCATCGGAAAGGAAAAGGATTTGAAGAACCGAGTCAAAGAATTGGAAACTAAACTCAACAGACGAAGTCCAAATAGCCAAGAGGTAAAAATAATAAACTTTTCACAGAATCAAATTGCATTCCTACAACCTCAAAACACTAGAACATGCATAACTCTGGTTTTACGAACAGAACGGTGAATCACTTCAAGATTTGGCAAATGAAGTAGCGACACTAAGAGAGCAAAATGGATCGATGGAGATGGAGTTGAAAGAGATGCAAGAGAGATATTCAGAGATAAGTCTAAGATTTGCAGAAGTTGAAGGTGAGAGACAACAACTTGTCATGACTGTACGTAATCTCAAGAATTCCAAGAGGAGTTAATATACCAATATCCTCAGGACCAGAAACTACTACAAGATTGTACAAATTCCTCTCCTTTTTCTCGGGTTTTTACATATATATATAGTTTTTATTTTCCTTTTTATATATTTTGTTCCGAGAGAAAGAAACGTGAGCTTTGAGTTTTGACTTCTTCTGTTTTGGGTGTATTTAGTAGCTTAAGGTCTTTATATATAAAAAAAATTAAAGGCTGATTGGTAAACAAAGGTTGTAAAAGTGCTTTGGGGGATGTAATAAAAAGGGGTTAAAAAAAAATCCCACAGTAAAATTTTCTCCATTAGATTTAGCTGCATCTGCATCTCTAGGAGTGTATTCAACTTAACATTTGAAATGATTCGGAAAGATTTGAGTTTTACGAAAAGATTTGAGTTTTAATGAGTTTTTAGATGATTTGGTTGAATTATGGAAATTATTATGATTTGATATCGAAATTCTATCAAACTCCACATAAAACCATAAAATTTGGATTCTTATATTTTTAACTAGGAAATTCCTTCAAAACATAAAATCAAAATAGAATTTAGAGTAATTTGTATTAAAGTCACTTCAACTTTCTTAAAATCCACTACTTAAATTATTTCTAATAACAGTGAATTTGAAGTTACATTTTCAAATTATTAGTTCAATAACACTGAATTTTAAACAACTTTTTAAAATTTATGTTTCAATAACAAAGGATTTGTGATTTTAATACAAATTACTCTAAATTCTATTTTGAATACATCACCTTTAATGATCAAATAAATTCACAAAAGATTAATCACTCAAATGCCAATTATAACATATCACAAACTAAAAATCGGCTATTTCATATTTGATATATTCTGTGTTATCTTCAAAGCGAAAATAATGACTGAATTGCGAATTATATAAATCACACACACACAAAAGATGCCTAAAACAAGGAATTGAGAATATTCAGACATGGACAGAAGCAGCGTATAACAAGTTAAAGCCAGTACGTGATGAGTCCGAGAGGACAGCAGCGGAGCACTCAACTTTCCCCCAAACCTCCCATGCCTCGCCTTCCTTGCGCCTCGTCAGTGAAATCTCGCCATACCAAAGCTCCAAAACCTGACCAGGACCTTGATCCGGGGCTTTCCACAAGACGGCGAACCTCTCTGTAGAGTAGAGGCAGATTTTGATGAGCTCATAACCACAGAGCTCTTCCAACCCCTTCACTTCCTTCCACTCCAGCTCGCACGGCAAACGCCACAGTATTCTCCCGCCGACACCACGGCAGAACAACGCCTCGAACATAAGCCAATCGTTTCTGTACTCTTGGTTAGGGTCTGTTTTTCCGTCCGCCACAAACTCACGTTTACTCGGCGAGAAGGAAAAGAACTGACCATCCTCATCCACCGCGTAAACCTGCTTCTCCTCCAGAACCGCGTAAGCCTGCTTCTCGTCTAGCACCACGCTTTGCTGGATCTTGAGGGGAGTCTTCGGGGAAGACACAAACAAGGACTCCCAAGTCCCGGTTTCGATGTCATACACCTCTACCCAGTTTGAGGAGTCAGCGACATCCCAGCACCCTCCAAACACGTATATCTTGTCGTCAATCAGGCTCGCCGATGCTCCGCTTCGAGCCATCTTCATGGGCGAGACGCGGAACACCCCGTGGTTGATACAGTCGAAATACATGACTTGCGATGTGGGTTTGCCGTCCACGAGTCCACCGATCGTATAGATCCCCCAGTCAGTCACCACGAAACAGGACCCTGCTTCCGGGGCCGGAATCGAGCACGGATGGACCGGTTTCAGCCGACGTTGCACGGGGTGGAGGACGAACCACCGTGGGCTTGGATCTGGATACATGTGCATGAACACGTACAGGTATGGGTCGGTGTTACCCATATGATATCTCAGGGCCCTGAGTTTATGGTTTTCAAAGGCGTACCGGTGTCTCCTGGAGACTATAGCTAGGGCAATGAGGTCCAGTCTCGACACCTGAGCCAGGATGTCCAGAGCCAGCTCATCTGGCAGCGACAGTAACCCACACACCTCCGTCTCATCCGTCCGAGCCACACATCTTTTCTTCATTGATTGATTACCGGAGAAATCAATATACTTTCTCTGAGAGGATCTTGAAACAAACTAATCTCAACGCCTGAATACCTGATTGTGCAGTTATAATGTATCTTCACTTATTTATATATACAATTGTCGTATGAAAAAAAGGAAAGAAACAAAGAAAACACAATACTGCTGAAAAAAGGAAAAAAAAAACATTGAGTGAAAAACGACAAAGGAAACAAGATATATATTTTTTTTTAATATTGAGAAATTAAATTATGGAGCTCACCTTGCACCTCGGATGTTTGAGATCAGTAGGATTCAGGAGCTTTCCGCAGTAAAACTGAAAAGACACACAATTACTTGAGACTCAAGAAAAGAGCCTGTATCAAGTATTCACCTGCTGTATGGAGAGAAACTTGTTTTCCAACAGAGTTTCTAAGGATTTCCAAAATCTGATCTAAATTAACAGTTTTTTTTCCAAAGGATTTCCAAAACATAATCAATACTGTGTTTGTGGTATAGCCTTCGAGGGTTTAAAAAATTCAACGCAGAGGGACAATTTCAAATTAGTTTTGGGGACTTTCTCCATTTTCATTGAGTGCAATTAATGGTCTTATAAATTAGTTTTTACGGCTCTGTTCTTTCTGCTTATGCTTTGTTTTCCCTCTCTTTGACGCCTGTCTCCGGTCTCTCGCGCTAAGTAGTTGTTTATTCGGCTTTGTAACATATTCGCGCTAAATTAACATTTTTTTTTGTTTTTGTTTTAATGGACTTCCAAAACCTAATCAATACTGTATTTGTGGTTTAGCCTTCGGGGGTTTTAAAATTTCAACGCATAGGGACAGTTTCAAATTAGTTTTGGGGATTTTTTCCAGTTTCATTGAGTGCAATTAATGGTCTTATAAATTAGTTTTTACGGCTCTGTTCTTTCTGCTTATGCTTGGCCTTCCCTCTCTCTGGCGTCTGTCTCCGGAGAAATACTGTGTCCGGGCTAAGTAGTTGTTTATTCGGCTTTGTAACATATTCAGATGGAAAAAGCAAAAAAACTGTCCAAATTCTCACAATTTTTACCTTTTAAGACCGAAGAATGTGTAATTATATGAAAAACAAGTATTAATACAATCAGAGTATGGTCACTAGTGTAATTGTCACAACAGAATAATCAGATCCACAAATTATCAATGGAGAATGTTATTTTCTAATCTACAACAGGATGAACAAGAAAGAACTAAGCAGGCTTTGTGTGAATTAATTAGTGTTACCCTCTTTCTTAGAGCAAAGTCGGATACTTAGCGTCAAGAAACTCTCTGAGACTCTTCGCAGCTTTGAGACCACCCATGAGTTGTGCTAGTTTCTCCACAGGCAAAGACACGAGCTCAGACAAACTCTTACATTCCTCCATTATCGACCTGTAATTAGCGTCTGAAACTCCAGGAAGCCTTCTCAGAAACTCTACTGCTGATGTGTTGTAGTTTTCCGCTCTGGTTCACATGATAAGTTAGACTTGAAGGCAAATGTACATCAAAAGCTGTTTTTTTTGCAGTTTTAAGAATCAGAGGTGTTCTTTTATCTTTTTACCTGATGTCATTTTCTATGATACCCTCTTCTGAAGGCACACCAACTCTTATTGCCCGGGCTTCATCTGGCTCGTCTTGGTTGGATTTTAAGGTGGTGAAGATCTCTGCGGTCGCATGTAGACTTCGAGACCATAATATCCTTAACCGAGGAAAATGCAGAACTAGCAGTGATAGTTTTGATATGATGTTATATGGAGTTACATCGTCAGATATATCACTCGCAGACTGCAAAAGAAAAGAGAGCCAATCCAAACAAACTCAATGAAGAACAGATATAAGAGAAACAGGAAACATTTAGATGAGAGATATTCAGACTGTGAAGCTTGGAATGCGAGAGGTTAACCTGAAAGGAGAAGCTTTTGTCTTGAGAGAACTCGATGAGAAGAACGGGTATTCTGTAATACCGGGACATCATTTCGACTTGGTGGAATAAACGACCTGATGTGAAGCTCTGGAAAAGATCCTGAATGCTTTTCCTCTCTACGCATATCGAAGGGGAAAGGATATAGTCGCCGACCTCTAGTGTAACCGGTATTATCTTCATGCCTTTCTGGTGAAGAACATTTGGTAGGCTGCTCATGAACTCCCTCATGTCAACTATTACCTGGTGAAGAAGCCATTAGAAATCTTTAAGTAAAAGGTCTCTTGAATCTTGGAGATTAGATAAGTCTTGGGATATGAACCTGTGTTTCTTTTTCGATTTCCTTTCTTCCGCCAGCTTTTCGGGTTAGTGAGTTTTGAGTACTTGAAGCTGGATAATCAGTAGATGAATTCAAACCGATGCAAAGCCCATCCTGATTCCAAGTCATAGGCATATTATGGATGAGAAGAAAGAAGGAAAGAGCAAAAAAGAGGACAAAGAAAAAAATCCAGTTTAGAGTTTCATCTACTTGGGCTGATTCAGTTCGATATCAACTTCTTTTTTTTAACAGAACTTTACCAATTATTGAGTTTGCTCTAGTGTATATCGTGTTGTGAACTTTGCTTCAACTGAAATGTTGGGATTTGAGTTACAAACCTGATCGACGGGAATCATCATCGAGGACTTCTGCCTGATTAATGATTCAAACGCTCCATTTTCCCGGCGTATGCTTGCTTCGAACTTCTGCACTTCTGTGGATTCATCATAGAAAAGAAAATAAACTTTCAGCTTTTTCAAAGGGTTCTCTGCTTTGTACACCTCAATTTCTCTGACGAAGCCCATGTCAGGATGGTAAACAATGATCACAGACGGTTTCAAGACATCTAGTATAGGTTGGTCGCTTTCCAAGGCATAAAAATGCACAGGCGGTAGCTTCTGGTCCCTGCTGGAGTGAACATCATTGGCTACTCGAGGGCCTGATGTGCTAGCTTCACTAGCGTTGTCTTCATTCTCTGAGCTTACTAAGACTTCGGGTTCACTATTCGCTGTTTTCTTATTGCAACTTCTTATGGATCTCCGAAGACTTGGTGATTCCTTTTTACCTTTTCCTTTGGTACAAGAAGCCTTATCAGCGTGCGGCTCTGGATTCTTATTTCCAGATGCAATATCAGTTATCTTTCCTAGCTTGCGAATAGAAGACGCAGCAGCCATAAGAGCCTCATGTTCTAGTCTGCCAACACTGCTACCCTCCGAGCTCTGCATTGTAGTTACAGGAACTACTCCATCAAGAATCCCAAAACCCTTTGGAGTCTTTTGTTTCTTCTTTTGCGGTGTCTGCACATTGCGGATCTCAATTTTGCTCAGCAGGTACATTTCCCACTCTTCCCGCATTACCTGAACAAGTATACGTAAAACAAGAATGTTTGTGAAGATATGTGTGTAACAAGTAGGGACAGGCTTCTAAGATATAACAAAAGTGTAGTAATTTAACTGCACCTTCTGTGAATTGTTTGTGATGCAATCTTCAAGTTGCATGCAGGAACGCTCATCTTTGCAAGCCACAAGAACTATTCCATTGTTGTCTTCTTCCTCAGAAAGTGTCTGCTTTTGTCTTTCTTCTTGTGTCTCTTCTAATATCTCCTGTATTCAATTCATGGGCACACCATTAGATTTTAAAGTGATTTCCTACGGCTAATTCAAAGACATCGAAAAACAAAGGACAAATAAGGTCACTAGCTGAACCAATTTCAAATCACCAAACCAACCGTAACAGAGAAACAGCAATCAAAATGAAACTCACTCAATCACTCACACGTAAGACTTTCCATTTTGGTGCCTCTTCTAGAACTTCTTCAAGAACAACACCATTAGCTACATTAGTAGCCGTTGCACTACCAACTGTTTCAGGTCCATTAATCAGCAGAGGAAAATTAAAATACATATAACATAGAAGATACAACCATGTAGATCAAGACTCTATTACCTGCTTCTACAGAGGCATTATCGCTCTTTGACTTTCTCTTTTTACCACTTGTATTCTTAACATCTTCTTTCGACTTGACGTCGCTTGCCTTCGTGAGACGATACACTCGCTTCTTTGCAAAATCAAATATTTTGTAGCTGGACTCTGCAAATAACCAAACAGATCGATAGCTCTCCGATACCCTGAGCGTATCCAAGAACTTCAGAAAACTCACAGCATCATACCTACCAGAAAAAAAATCCATAAACATGAAAACTAATTGCCGTTAGAAACTGCACAACACCCAACTTTAAGCTATGATCAAGAAAAAATGAAGAGAATTGCTCACTGTCCCCAAAAAGCAGATGACTTTGCATAAGCACAACAATAATGAATAGAGAAAGAGAGTCAGAGAGCAATTACCTAACAAGATAGTCAAGCAACTTCCTTAAAGTCTTCAAATCAGAAACAAGCTGTTTGGTTCTTTTCCCCAGAGTATGCCAAATGGGGTCAAGCTGCCTCCTCACAATCTCGTCAAAGGACTTGAACAACCCACTCTCAACAGTCAAATCGTCCACATCGACTTTGTTAGTCTTCCTCATCTCCTTGAGGCAAGCGTCCATGACTTCAATGATTGCTTTCTGTATCCCCACCATGTGATTCGACATAGAAACTCTTATATCCACAACCTCAGGCGGTTCTCGCTCCAGTTCCTGAGACACATCCAACTGAAACCTGATGCAGAACAAACCCTTGATATAACAAATTCATTCGTAAAAAAACATTGCTTTTCTGAAGAAACTGAATTTTACAAAACCTGGGCCATAGATGGAGCCGGCGGAGGAAGAGAGCACGCATGGTGCGTTCAGTCTTGGCGAAGCCGGAGACCATGGCTTGCGGTTTATCGGAAAAGGCGCGTACATAGGCGGAGCCATTTAGGGTTTTAACGATTCGCACGATGAAGGCTTCCGTAGAGGTTTCGGAAAGTGAATGCGCGTTGAGGATGAAGATCCCCGCGAGTGAAGAAACCGGAATCCGTTGAGTGAGGAGATCGACGATTAGAATCCGCGGCGTGATGAAGAAAGGATTGCCGGAGGAGTAGAGCGAGTGACGCTGGTTCGCCGGGAGATCGGCTGTGATCTCCGTCGGAAGAGGAGAATCGAGGGAGGAGATGTAATGGAGGATTCTGGATTTGAGGGATTGAGCGGCGGGAGAGAGGAGGAGAAGCAGGGTTCCTTGGGACGGTGAGTGAAGGAGAAGGAAATTAGCGATTAACTTAGCGAGGGAGAGACCTGAAGAGAGGATCACTAATCCGCCATTAGAGTCCTCGAGAAGGTCCGATATAATCTGCTGGTGAAATTTCAGCGCCATGAAAGAAGAAGACGGACGACGCAAACCGGAGAATCATCGACGACGATATAAAAAAAGAAGCTTTATACGGTGAAACGTTTAAATCTCACAACGGCGTCGTTTAATGATTAAAAACCAAACAGAGTCAAACCGTCTCTGCAAAGATGTCAACTTTTCTGCTTCTCTGTTTTTACTCTGCTTTTCTTTTTCAGTCTTTAAGTACAACGATGTGCAATCTGATCATAGCTTTGCGTTATTCATCGATCAAGCCAATAAGAGAACATCTTTGTCATTTTAGACTTTTGATTTTCAATTAGAAAGGGGACAAAAGAATACAAATGTTTTTTTCTTTTTCAAGTGGCATGCCTTAGCATCCACACATGTTTACAGAAATCAATCTATATTCACTATATAAATGTGTTTACACTGTTCAACAACTTCTGAATTGTAAAGTTACCAGATTTTGAAGTCAAGCATCTCATTAAGAAGCCTCCTCATTACTTTGTGCACATTCTTGTAACAAAGTCCTTTTTTTTACTACCAATGCAGTATGTATAAACAATCTCACAGCTTCACAAAGACTGCAGTAAGTTGGGTGTATGAAACTTCATCTCTACGGGAGCTTACCTGAGGCATCTTCTTGAAAATTTGAAACCACCGACATGTGCTTACAGGAAGATACATCCTGTTCTGTGCCTCATCACAAACTGCAACTGCACCATCATATGCGTTTAGTCGAAGCATAGGGCCAAACTCCTCAATACTATGATCATTTCCACAAACAAGCTCATAGTTTCATCAATCCTTCCGCATCACAAAGACAGTGCCTAAAATTGGATGTAGGAAACTTCATCTCGGCGACATCCCATCTATGAGTCATCTCCTTGAAAATCCTAACCAGAATCATAGATGTAAATGTGAAATGATCAGGAATCAACCCAGCCTGAATCATCTTTCCACGCACGCATGCAACAGATGCTAACAGAGGATGCAACCTCTGTGCCCTATCACAAGCTGAAACTGAAACCACTCAACTTCTCAATAGAACTGTCACCTATTTGGCAAAACCCCATCTTCTTTCATCTTCCTAAACAACACGTGAGCTTCGAGCTTTAACCCTTCCCTAAACAATCCCGATATCAGTGTAGTGTATGTTACAACATTAGGTTTCACTCCTTTAGAGGAGAGGCTACAGAATAAATCAACAGCATCTTTCACTTTACCAGCTTTGCACATCCCTTGAATGATGATGGTATACGTAATAATACTAATATCCGTCTCTCTCTTTTGCATATCCCCAAATATCATCAGCGCTTTATCTAGCTTCCCATTCAAACATAGACCATGTAACAAAACGTTGTAGGTCCTAATATTTGGAGGCACGCCACGAGAAACCATCTGACTAAAAACTTCTTGGGCGACCTTATGTTTGCCCACTTGACAAAAACCTTGAATAAGAATGGTGTAAGTGATTGTGTTACCGAGTAAACCTTTCTGAGACATCTCGGACAAGATTTTCATCCCATCCTCTACCTTTTTGGATTTGCAAAACCCGTTTATGAGAGAAGTATAAGCCACTACATCTGGAAAGCAACCCTTGGATTCCATCAAACAGAACATTTCTTTGGCCTCATTAACGCGACCTTCCATGCAAAGCCCATTGATCAATGACGTGTAAGTGAAAATATCAGGAGCTACAGACATTTGAATCATCTCGCTGTACAGTTCCTCAGCCTCCAAAAGCTTTCCTTCTTTCACAAACCCATCGATCAACGCATTGAAAGTGATTACATCAGGGTGTATATTCCTTTTCATCATGTCGCTCAGTAGCACAGCAGCATCACTCCATCGACCAGAGTTACAAAGACCGTTTACGAGAGAGGTGTAGGTGACAACATTCGGTCCAATCCCATTGTTTTCCATTTGGTCGAAAAGGCTTAACGCATTATCCACATGCCCGTTTTTGCAAAGACTATCAATGATTGTAGTGTACATCACAAGATCAGGTTTCATTCCCATCTCCATCATCTGATTAACCATAGACATTGCATCGTCGATTCTATTCCTGAGGCAGAACCCATTGATCAGAGAGGTGAAAGTGACAATGTCAGGCTCGAAACCAAGTTTCATCATCTTCCCAAGAAAAGATGAAGCGAGAGAAGGCTGAGAAGATTGGCAGAAACAATTCATCAGAAGATTGCAACTGTAGAGATCATGTGAAATTCCCACCATTTGCAGATGCTCGCAGAGATTGATCACGACATCGAATCTCTTCATTTTGGAAATAGCAGTCAACAATCTTGTGAAATCGACAATGGAGGGTAGAGGACGAGACTCGACCATGTGAGTGAACAAATCCAGAGCTTTATTGAACTGAAGAGAGTGAAGATTGCTCCGCAAAATGTTTCGGTAATCACAAAAAGCTCGTACCCAGAAACAGATACTCAATAGGCGGCTAACGGAGAGAGCATTTCCAGAATCACCTTTCTCCAGACGATGTCGGTGAAGATGAAGAGACCTTATCGCCATTAACGCAATCCCAGACGCAAATCCAGACGCGAATCCAGACGCGATCGATTCTGCCTTCTGTTGGGTACGTCTGAATTTCCAGAAGCGATTGATTCGGCCTTTGATTGGGTTCGTTGAAGATCAATCGATTCAAGAAGTTATTGCGAGCCTAAGAACCCTAAATCGAGAAGTGAACAGAGAAGAAACATAATTGCTTGATTCAGCTCGTTCCTTTGACTTTGTGTAAGAGCGTTGACTTTCACATGATTTTATGGGCCCATCCCAATGGATCACTAATTTAAAAGCCCATTATTTAAGTCGAGTTTAAGCTTGGTGTTAGTTATGTAAAATGTAATATTTACAGTCATTGAGAGAGAGCTGTATATACATTATCCAAAAGATGAATTTGTATATTTTTGATTAGGAACTACTGTAGTATATAATAAAAAGTTGCAGATTGAGCTTACTTTTCAAAAAAGTGTCTGGTTTTATATTTTATTTTGTGTGCAATCATACATTACTTCCACTATAACCTACCTCAATATTAAATAATATCGTTTAATTGTTTGGAGATCTACCCAAAAAAATTTATTCGAAATGACCATGAAGTATAATCTAAAGCAAAAATGTATATACAAGATATATAATAGTACTCAGAAAATAAGATTAAAAAATGAAGATTAGATATTGTAGGACCCTTTCAGATGCAAATCCTTTCAGATTAATTAAAAAATGAAGATTGTTAAACTGAATGATATAAAGGGAAATAAACAAGAAAATGTTTTTCATGTCATTTTGTGAAGTTATTTTTGTTTTGTTTGCCAACAATGATTGTGGATGCTAATTGATAAATAAAATAAAAATAAGAGTCATTCCCAAAATACTTACACCAATAAAAATTGCAATTTCATAAAATAACAATAACAACAATTCAAATTTCAAACCATTAGAAATGTAAATTCTAATTTAATTGGCAACAAATCTGAGTGATCATGTACACTGTACAGTAATAAAATATAAGATTTTTTAACCCTTTTTCTCAGTCAAAGCAGGTAAAATACATTGACTCTGGGAGTTTCGAAGATGATGCATGTTCATACATTTGTCCTTGAAACAAAATATACTTTAATGTTATAATATATATATATACTTTTACGATTTAACATATTAGTTTATTTTTAGCTTCTAATTAAAAATAGATGGGAAAGAAATATAAAACAATTGCATGATCATAAAACTGGAATCCATTGCTAATTAAATGTAATGGGTGTAATTCTAGTCAAGGTTATAGACTTATAGTGCCAAGAATGATTATAGTATAAAATTAGGAGTTTCCTTCTTTTCTAAAGAAAAAGATAAAGCACAATTTCAATTTCTTCCCCTCCCAAAGAATAAAAACAAAAAAAAACAAAACTGTCTTTGATTCCCCTGGTGTCTCTCTCTCTCTCTCTCGCCAGTCTCTGTTACTTAGAAACTTCATATTATCCTTTGATGGGTTCTTGCTAATTACTCAGATTATTATAAAGCATTTTCCTTTTTTTTTCTTTTTTAAAATCTCGTTCTTCTCTTTTAAGGTCAAACATCTCAATCACAAAGTATTATTCTCGAGTAAAGCTCTTGTCTTTGTGGCGACTTTTCAGTGAGAAATTCTGGGTTTTTGCTTCCTTTAATGAGCTAATATTTGGGAAGGAGAGAAACACAAAAAAAAAAAAATGAGATTTTGCTTATCTTCAAGTCTGAAGCTTTCTCTTGTGAGTCTTGTTCTATGGTTCCTCTTTGTTTCCTGTGATGCGCTTGCCTCTAAAGAAGGTATATACGATTGGGAAAGTTTGGTCTTTTCGTCTCTATGAATGTCTGTTAACACTAGCATTAGTATTTGAATCAATTTATATTTGACCCCCAAAGAAGAAGAAGTATTAGAATCAATTTGAAGTTTGTTGCTTTAAGTTTGAGTTAATTTAGGAAGTTGAAGTTTTGTGACTATTCATAAGAAGTATTTGATGTATTGTTGTTATTGCATCAGTTGAAGCTCTTAGGAGATTTAAGGAAGCTATGTATAAGGACCCTTTGCTAGTTATGTCTGATTGGAATGTGCCCGATTCGGATCCTTGTGATTGGAACGGCATTAAATGTTCTCCATCCAAGGATCATATTATCAAAATGTAAGAAACTTTTGATCTCTTCCTGCATTCTCCATTGCTTCTTATCTGTTAAAATGTGTTGCCTTTGTGAAAAAGGCTCTAGATTTATATTGGTTATTGCAGAAATATATCGGACACATCGATGAGAGGGTTTCTTGTGCCACAACTTGGTCAGATAAGCAACATGCAAGAACTGTATGGTTTTGATTTCTATTGACAGTAACTGAAATTATGTTTGGAATCTTTTAGATGGCTTTTTGTTTAGTGTGTTGAATGCTTCTTTTAGGATCCTGCGTGGGAACATTCTAATGGGGACAATACCGAAAGAGATAGGGAAGTTGAAGAAACTCAAGATCTTAGACTTGGGAAACAATCATCTAACAGGACCGGTTCCAGCAGAGATTGCGAGTTTGTCTAAGATTGTGATAATGTATTAATAAGCTTTAAACTAGCGTCGCTTGCAATAATGTGCTGAGATAACCAATTTTATTTTTTTGCTTTGTCATTATATTACAGAAACCTTCAGTCCAATGGTTTAACAGGAAAGCTGCCTCCAGAGATTGGAAATTTGAAGCATCTTAAAGAACTTCTTATTGACAGGAACAGGCTTCAAGGAAGTATTCCTGTTGCTACAGCAACAAAAAAGTGAGTTTAGCCAGTAAAGATGAACACTTGTTCATTGTCTATGATAGAAATGCTAAATAGATGTTCTTTTGTTTGTCTGAATCATCAGGAATGTTTCAAATCCAAGTGCAGACAACACTGGTCTGTGCAAGTCTCCTCATTTGAAAGTGTCGGATTTCTCCTACAACTTTTTCGATGGAACAATCCCGAGTTGTTTGGATTACCTTCCAAAGTAATTCTTGTAAGACCCTTTTTATCTACTTGGATTGTCTTTTCTCATCTGATGATTTGTTTCATCGTAGAACGAGTTTTCAAGGAAACTGCATGCAAACCAAGGATGTTAAGCAAAGGTCTTCTTCAGAATGTGGTTTGTAGAATCTGAGTTTCACTGTAATGAACACCAGCGATCTTCGATTTCTTTGTCTAATTTTGATTTCTTTCAAATTGACTAGCTGCAATCGTGGCCAAGAAGAAGAAACGACCTATGTGGCTTCTGGATTTCGAGATAGTCACAGGATCATCGGTCGGTTTGCTCTTTGTGGTTGTAATTTTCTCTGCATGTAGCTTGTGCAACATAAAGCGCTCTCTCATCGTTCCCTGGAAGAAACCTGCAAGTGCAAAGGAGCAGTTCACTGTCTATGTTGGTTAGAAACTTTTGGAAGTTCTAAGATTTCAATACAAAAAAAAACCCCGAAAGAGCTTCCAGAGAATGGAAAATAGTTAACAGAGGACTGGTTTTTTGTTATTACAGATTCTGAAATGCTGAAGGATGTTTCAAGATTCACAAGACAAGAGCTAGAGATGGCGTGTGAAGACTTCAGCAACATCATTGATTCTTGTGCAGATAGTCAGATTTACAAAGGAACGATCAAAGGCGGGACTGAGATTGCAGTGATCTCTCTCTGTGTTAAAGAAGAAGATTGGACTGGATATCTTGAGCTTTACTTCCAAAGAGAGGTTCTTCTTCTTCTTCTTCTTCTCCTTCTTCTTCGTATGTCATTAATGAGTCACTTGCAAGAAGACATCAGTAAGATCCTGAATTTTTGTGACCATTCATTGTTTCAGGCTGCGGATTTGGCTAGATTAAACCATGAAAATGCGGGGAAATTACTTGGATACTGCAAAGAGAACAAACCGTTTACAAGAATGCTTGTTTTTGAGTATGCATCAAACGGGACACTATACGAGCATCTCCACTGTAATATATATATATAATCAAACTTGTTGCTTTTGGCAGACTCCACAAGAGTAGAGTTTTAGCTGATAACATGTGTGCGTTTTGGTGCAGATGGGGAAGGGAGTTTAGTGTCGTGGGCAAAACGCATGAAAATCGTTGTAGGCATCGCGCGTGGTCTCAAGTACCTTCATACTGAACTCGATCCTCCACTTACAGTCTCTGAGTTGAACTCAAATGCAGTGTATCTCACTGAAGATTTTACTCCCAAAGTAAACCTTAAGCCTTGCTCTTTCCTAGACAACACAGTGAACTAAGCTTTGTTAGCATACTCTTAATCCCTTTTTATCTTCTCCTTTTGCAGCTAGTTGATTTTGAATGCTGGAAAACGATTCTGGTGAGGTCAGAGAAGAACTTGAGGGACATCAGTAGTGAAGGAGCCATATGTGTACTTCCTAACGCGATGGAGCATCGAGGTCTGAATTTACAAGGGAACATCTACTCATTTGGCATACTCTTGCTGGAGATTGTGAGCGGAAGACCTTACTGCCAAGAAAGAGGTTGCTTGGTTGAATGGGTATGTATAGCTTTTCTCTTTAAGTCTCTCTTATAGTATCTTCTGAAAAAAAGATTCAAACTTTGCTACTCTGTGAACCAAAATGGATGCAAAGTCTTGACCTTTTGTATGTTTGTGTGGTGTAGGCAAAGGAGTATCTTGGTGCAACAGATGTGATGGCTGGTTTGGTTGATCCTGAGCTGAAGCATTTCAACCAAAAGGAACTCGAGGCGGTATGTGAAGTGGCGAGCCAATGCTTGAACTTCGACCAGGATGATGAAGACAAGAACAAGAAGACTTGTTTGGTTCAAGAGCTTTATGAGACATTAGAGAGTAGAATCAGCTTGTCCATTTCGGCTGAGCTCAGGTCGTCTTCTTTGGCATGGGCCGAACTCGCGCTGGCTTCGCCTTCTAATGAAGATGGAGATGAAGAGGAAAGGAGTAAATACCCAAATAAACACTGTAACTCTTTCAAATAAATTGGCTCACTGACAATTTAACTTGTTCGATCCTACATTATGCTCTGTTTTTTTTGTCCTTTGGTGTTTCTGAAATTCAATAACATCACTTATTTGTAAATAGGATACATGGAGAACTCGATACACAAAGTGTTCGAGATTAAGAAGATATAAGAGTACTTAAAGACCCTTTAGACAAAGTAAATTTTAAATAGAAAATTCGTACTATCAAAATTCATTTTTTTTTTAAAAAACAACTTCATATTTTGTTTCTTTTAATTAAAATACTAATTTGGGAACCGAATAAAAGTTTTGGAGAAAACAATAAAAAAAGTGAATAAGGAGACAAAATCATTTGGCATCATCATCACAAGTAAAGGAGATGCTTTGTTGCGTCGGCGAGACAAAATGATCAGTGCATAGAGCGAGAGTAGTGGTTGTCGTTAGGGTTCCGTTTCTGGCTGAAGATCGCCATAGCTTTTCTCACAGGAGGCTGCAATGGTGCCTTCCTATCACTGTGATGGTTCATGAACACATCGTCTGATATGAAGTATTCATCCCCCTGATAAAAAATAAAACAAAGGATATATAAACAAGCCCCAAGTTTTGTTTCAACCAAAAGACGATTTTGAGTGAGTATATGAACCAACCGGTTTGTTTGCTTTCTTCTTGGTCTTGGGATTGAGATACTTTTGAGGAAGTTGATCTTCCCGTAGAACCATATTCTTGGTGATTGCGTCTCTTCCACTTTTAGGCATTGGTATCGAATACTGCAACAGAGAAAGAAGAAGACGATGGGTTTCTGTTTAAAAAGCAGAGTAACATATAATGATTTTGTATGTTTGTTGTTTCGATCGACTGCTTACTTTGGTCCCTCGAAGTGTGATACGTGGTTTACGCGCAGATATGATGGTGCCATTCTCGCCTATTGTGACCGCAACCTTGCGTAAAGTGCCGCCATTACCGCACTTGGGACAGAAGTCTCTTCCGATTTCAGGAGTTACTGTGTAGCAAGCATGGCATTGCAAGATCCACCTAAAGATTCAAACGCAGTAAAGTGTAAGACCATCTTTCTCATGCTAAAGAATTTTGGAGGAATCAAAAGGAAGATCCGATTCATAAAAGCGTACCTCTTTAGTTGGCGGATCTGCATACCTCCGGGTGCAAGCAAACGCAAACCCATTTGAAGAATAACATTTTGCATCGCATAGTCACCGGTAATACAAGCTACACTGGACTCAGATAAGGCTCTCAGCGACCAGCTCTGCTCGCTGCTACCATCATCCGCCATCGATGATGCCTCAAAGGTATCCCCAGCATCACTAGCAACATCGATCCCCTCAGCTTCGACATCATCATCCTCACCATTCGTCTCTTCAAGCCCTTCCTGGAGTGAATCTTCCTCCAGCCTCATATCTTCTAAGATGGACGAAAGCTCCTCCTCATTCTTTCCGCTATCTTTCGCATGCTTTTCATCAGCGTCTTTAGACATCTGATCAGTCAAGTTACCAGCTTTCTCAGCTTCTTGATCTTGCTGAATTTCTTTCTCAGCCAAGGCATTGTAATGTTCCCACTTGGCCTTTCTCCTGAGGAACTTTCTGTGAGTACTGCTACTAACCGCAGGTCTCCACTCACCAGCATCCTCCTCATCGTTTTCGCCACGTGATGCATCTATTCCTTCCACTACCATCTTCCCATCAAGCTTCACCTCTGTTTTCTTGGGCGGGTATCGCTTCTGCCTCCTCTCACCTTCATGGTCATCCTCCTCTTGACACTCGGCAACAGAACCAGCCTCAGAACAGTTGTCCGAAGGTAGGATATTCATGTTAAGGTCCTTAAGCGGAAGGATTCTGGAGTTGGAGTTGGATTTCTCCTCGGCCTCGTTTTCTAATGCTTCCCACTCCTCCAAGTTAGCCACATTGGAGCCCCAACCAGGTAACTCCTTCTCAGGTAATCTCTTTACTCTAACAGTTTGAATCGGTGGAGGAATATCTCGGAGATTTTTGGTGCCATGAACCTGAGCCTCGAGCGTATATGTTAAAGCAATCAGTTTGAGATCAACATCAGATAGAGTTTGCAAATCACCAGTCGCTCTAGCAAATTTACCAACTGCAGTGCAGAGACAAACAAAGAGAGCCTATAAGTCAGAGATGCAAAATAGTTCTATCTTCAACACAACATTTGCGAACTCGATCCAAAACCTATAAGTTTTCTACAAATTTCACCAAAAAAAAAAAACTCAGTTGCAGGAATCACAGAGTTGCTTATGTACCTTTACTGAGAGATTCAGGAGAAGGCTCCATGGTTTCGATAGTGAAGGGGATGAAGGCGAGACGACGGCGAGAAGCAGGGTCACGAATCTCGGAGAGTACTTCAGGGACGGTTACGAATTTGTCGGCGAAGTTGGTTAAGCTCTGGCCTCCTTCAATGACGGCGTTGGCGTCAATAACCGCCACAGATATCCCCTTAGTCGATTTGCAGCTTCCAACCATTCCGAGAATCGCTGCCGGAGATCCATCGGTAGCCGGAGGCTTTGAAGGAGGATCTTTCTTCACTATAGAACTCCACATCGTGGTTGGATTCGGCTCCATGGGTCGCGTTGGAGTTCCGTTTATTTGCCGCTTCAGTGTGGAGATTCAGAGAGAGGAAAATAACCTAGTTCTGATTAAAGGCAATGACAACGTCGTTTTGTTCAATTATTTTGAATGGGCCTAACCCAAGCCCAAACAAGTAGACAGATTAAAGTATTGATTACATCATTTACAAAATTAAATGATATAAATTTTAAATTACTTATTAATAAATGATACAAAATATATGATTTAACATCATTTATCATAATTTATATATTTACTACTTCAGTTCAATAAAATTGATACAAATTTATATTAGTTTACATTACTTAAATAAAATTGATATGAAATTATGTATTCAAATCAATTAAATAATCAATGTAATCAATAATTTTTGTTAATATTATTTAAAAAATAATATAAATTTTATATCTTTTAAAACTGATGTAACTAACTTTTTGTATTATTGTCCCACATTACTAGTTGATAAAAAAATGAAAGAGAAAACATGTCTATATATATGAAAACTAAAGTACCTAATATTTATATTTACTAGCCAATAAAATTAATTTCAAATTTTTTGATGTTTCAAAAAAATTATTGATGCATAAATTTCTGGATTAAAATAATAATATTATTATAAATATTTATGAAAATAATAATAAATTTAAATTTTTAACATCTGAATATAATCATAACATTAAACTAAACTAATTTCTTAGCTTTGGCAGGAATAAAAAATTTCTCGGTTTTGACAGGAATAGAGGATTTCTTGGTTTCGGTAGGAAAATGTGATTTACGGTTTTGGTAGGAAAACATAATTTCTTTGTTATGGCAGAATAAACGAATTCTCGGGGTTGGCGGGAAAATGTGAATTTTTGGTTTTGGTGAGAAAACTTTTTTTTTAAGAAAAAAAAAATATCTTAGTTTTGACTCGAAAATGTGATTTTTCGGTTTTGATGGGAAATGCAACTTTTCAACTGTGACAAAAAATGAGATTTCTCGGTTTTGGTAGGAATTGCAAAATTTTGGTTTTTGACGGATAATACGATTTTTTGGTTTTCGCGGGAAAATATGATTTCTTAGTTTCCGCAGAAAATTGCAATTTGACGATTTTGGCGGAAAATGCAATTTCTTGGTTTGATGGGAAAACAAAATTTCTCGATTTTGGTGGGAATAAGCAATTTCTCAGTTTTAATAGAAAATGCCAATTTTCAGTTTTTGACAAATAATACAATTTTTTTTTGTTTTTGAGGGAAAACATGATTTCTCAAGAGATAATGCAATTTTTGGTTTTCGCAGAAAATTATAGTTTATCGGTTTTGATAGGAAAGCGTGGTTCTTGGTTTAACGAGAAAATAAATTGTTTTTTTTTTTGGCGAGAATAGATGATTTCTCGCTTTTTCGAGGGAAAATGAAATTTTCAGTTTTAACGGAAAAATACGATTTTTTAGGTTTTTGCAGGATGATGGATTTTTTTTTGTTTTGGTGAAAAAATGTGATTTCTTGATTTTGGCGGAAAAACACAGGTTCTCACGGGAAAAATGTGATTTCTTGATTTTTGTGAAAAATGCAATTTCTCTGTTTTGGTGAGAAAATAAAATTTTAGGTTTGACTAGAAAATGATTTTTTTTTTGTTTGGCAGGAATAGGCAATATCTCAGTTTTCGTTGGAAAATATTTTTTTTTTGGTTTGAACGGGAAATGCGATTTCTCGGTTTTTATTAAAAAAATGAAATTTCTCTTTGTTAAAGTGCCAAATTACAATATATTTACATTAACCAAAATTTATTTATTTAACTTCAACTAAATCGATATTTTAACCTTTCAAACAGAATATCTATTTAGTTTTAAAGCAATAACAATAGTCTTTATATGAATGTTACTGATTATAGTTTGGTGGTTTTAAAAACATATGTTTATAATAAATATTTGATAAATAAATAAATTTTATAATTTAAATTAATCATATTAATTAATAAATCTTTTTTTAAATGACATTTTTCTTTATATAATTACAAAGAAGGATCAAGTGGCCATTTAATAAAGAAAATAGATTACATTTGCCATTAGCATGAATGTACTTAAAAATGTATTGATTTATTCTTGCATATACACATTTACAGTTAGTTAGCTAAACAAATTTGATAGCAAATTATAATTTGGAAAAATAAAAAAGATTAAAGATATACAATGTTTATTCAAATCTAAAACATATAAATACATAACTTAAGCTAATAAAAAATAAATATAATACTTATTTACATTATAAATATAATTTTATTATATTAAAAATATATAAAAAATTTAAAAAAAATACTGCACGGGTAAATACTGTAGATTTATATGCGGAAGTGTATAAGAGAGATTATAAGAGAGAATAGAGAGAGTAGAGAGAAACTATATATTATTTCTCATAATCTATATTGAACAAGAAGATACAAATATATAGAACAAAGAAATAGCTGTTGTACAATTAACTACAATAACATCTAAATTCGTGCACTTATGGATGAAAGAGAGAGAGGAGCCTCTGCATTAACTATGACACACTTGAAATAGTCCTTCATTAGATCGACATACTTCTATTCCAAGAAAGTACTTTAGTTCACCCAAGTCCTTGATATCAAAAACAGAATTAAGAGAGGATTTTATGTTTTGAATACCTTTGTTGTCATTGCCAGAGATAATGATATCATCAACATAAATAAGGACAACAACAATACATGATTCCCCCTGAATTGTGAAAAGCAAATGATCGGCTTTTGACCTTTTAAATCCATTTCTAATGAGGGTTTTTCTCAGCTTGTGATACCAAGCACGTGGTGATTGTTTAAGACCATAAATGGCTTTGTTTAGCTTGAGAACCTTGCCTTCTTCAACTTTAATACCAGGAGGTGGTCGCATGTAGACTTCTTCTTCAAGTTCTCATTAAAGGAATGCATTTTTAACATCCATATGCCACAAATCCCAAGACAAATTAGTTGAAAGGGAAAGTATTATCCGAACAGTGTGGAGTTTAGCTACCGGAGCAAAAGTATCTTTGTAGTCTTCTCCATATGTTTGAGTAAAGCCTTTTGCCACCAAACGAACTTTGTATCTCTCTATTTCACCATTGCTGCAATATTTGATCGTAAAGACCCATTTGGAACCCAATAGTTTCTTTTCTTTTGGGAGATCAACCACATTCCAAGTGTTGTTTCTTTTCATAGCTTCATGTTCTTCATCATCTGCCTCTATCCATACCTCTATATCCTTTGCCTCTTCATATGTTTGAGGTATAGCAACCTGGTCAATTTTACTCAGTAAAGCACGATGATCATTAGGAAGGTTAGCTAAACAACAATGAGCTTGAATAGGGTGAGCAGCAGTAGAGACAAGATTATTATAGTAGATTGTAGTGTTAGCCCTATTGGGGAGATCATTCTTGATTCTGGAGCTCCTGCGAGTTTGAGGAAGAGAGTCATCTTCATGAATAGCTGACTCCAAGTTTTGAATATCTACATCAGATTCTCCCATAAGATAATCATTATCATCTTCCACCAGATAATCACTATCACTGTCATCATTTTCTTCAGACTCTTCTACACTTTTGTCACTGTCAGTTTCTTGAGGATCTGAATTATTTGAAGCTCCATCATTTTCTTGATTATGAGAGACCTCAGAGAGTTCTTCCTGAGAAATGTCATTCTTGTTCTGAACTTGCTCTTGATCATCAATAGCTTCAATCGTTTCTGATTCATCTTCATTTGTTGCCTCCTCTGTTTCACCTTTTTCAGGTTCTTCTTCAGATTGTGATGTAGAAGGAGGTGTAAGAGGTAGCTGGACAGTTTCTTTTGGTGAAGGCAAGTTAAGATTTTCTAGGAGACTCCTTAGACTCGCAACAAGATTAGAACCAGAAGAACCCAAGTCTTTTAGTTTGTTCCAGTCTTTCTCTTCATAGAATCCCCTTTCCTCATCAAACTTGACATCTCTAGAAACAAAGAGTTTTTTGGATTCTGGATCGTAGCACTTGTAGCCTTTTTGTGTTGTAGAGTAACCAATGAAGATACACTTAGTGCTTTTTGGCTGAAGCTTGTTCCTCTGACTATCTGGAATGTGGACATAGCAAACACAACCAAATACTTTTAAAAAATCGGCAGAAGGTTTAAGTTTATTGAGTACCTCATATGGTGAGATGTCATTGAGACATTTAGTTGGAAGCCTATTGATGAGATAACATGCAGTTACAACAGCATCACCCCAATAATGTGAAGGTTCTTGCGCTCTGCAACACCATTTTGTTGAGGAGTATAAGGACAAGAAGTCTGGTAAATGATTCCTTGCTTGGTAGTAAAGGATTTGAACTCATTACTGGTGTATTCTCCTCCATTGTCAGATCGCAGAGTTTTTATCTTTGCATTGTATTGTGTTGAGACAAAACTGTAAAAGTTTGAGAAAGCCTAAAAAACACGGCCTTTTGAAGGTAAAAGAGTTAGCCAAGTGTACTTAGATTTTTCATCAATAAAAGTAACAAAGTACTTATATCTATCTCTTGTTTCACAAGGAGCAGTCCAAACATCAGAATGAATGAGATCAAAACAATTCTCATAATTTTTAGAGGAATTTGGAAAAACAGTTTTACAATGCTTTCCTAAGATACATGCTTCACACTTGTCATTCTCAACATAAACATCTGGAAGGAGAATCTTAAGAGCTTTAGTATGAGGATGTCCTAGTCTAGCATGCCAAACTGCATTATTAGCAACAACAGGAACATAAACAGATTTGAGGTCTTCAAGAACATAAAGACCATTCTCAGTAGATCCTTCTCCAATAGTTTTTCCAAATTTAATATCATGGAACCAGAGATCATTAGGACTAAAAATAGCCAAGCAATCAAGATCTTTTGTGGTTCTTTGAACAGATAACAGGTTTGAAGTAAATTCAGGCATATAGAAAGCCTTAGAATCCTTGTTAAACAGTTTTAAGTTCCCAACTCCTTTAACATGCACATTATGACCATTAGCAATAATCACA